AGTCTATCACTTTTCCCTTATTAGTGCAAACCAGAGCCAAACTATAAAGGGTGTGACCAAGGTACTGCAGTCTAGTCACACAGAGGGCTGACTAGCTTATTGAAGGGAAATACAAGTATGGTGAAATTGCATGGAGTACCTGCACCATCTTGTGGACAAATACAATATTTCAAATTCAGAGAAACGGCCACAATCAAAGAAAGCACACACACACAGCCCTCAGGTTCATTTATCAGTTAAAACAGAAGACTACTTACTAATGGTTTATATACACTACATTACCAAATGTATGTGGACACCTGCTCTTCGAACATCTAATTCCAAAAATCATGAGCAAGGGTCCCCCGTTGATGCTATAACAGCCTCCACTCTTCTGGGAAGGCTTTCCACTAGATGTTGCAGCATTACTTGCTTCCATTCAGCCACAAGAGCATTAGTGAGGTCGGGCACTGATGTTGGGCGATTAGGCCTGGCTCACAGTCGGCGTTCCAATTCATCCCAAAGGTGTTTGATGGGGTTGAGGTCGGGGCTCTGTGCAGGCCAGTCAAGTTCTTTCACACCGATCTTGACAAGCCATTTCTGTATGGACCTCGATTTGTGCACGAGGGCATTGTCATGCTGAAACAGGAAAAGGCCTTCCCCAAACTTGCCACAAAGTTTGAAGCACAGAATCATCTAGAATGTCATTGTATGCTGTAGCGTTAAGATTTCCCTTCACTGGAACCATGACCATGACAAAAACAGTTCCAAACTTTACAGGTGGCACTATGCATTGGGGCAGGTAGGATTCTCCTGGCATCCAACAAACCCAGATTCGTCTGTCGGACTGCCAGATGGTGAAGTGTGATCCATCACTCCAGAGAACGCGTTTCCACTGCTCCAGTCCAATGGCGGCAAGCTTTACACCACTCCAGCCGACGCTTGGCATTGACATGATCTTAGGCTTGTGTGCAGCTGCTCGGCCGTGGAAACACATTTCATGAATCTCCCAACGAACAGTTATTGTGCTGATGTTGCTTCCAGAGGAAGTTTGGAACTCTGTAGTGAGTGTTGCAACCGAGGACAGACAATTTTTTTGCGCTATGCGCTTCAGCGGTCCTGTGCTGTGAGCATGTGTGGCCAACCACTTCACGGCTGAGCCGTTGTTGCTCCTAGACGTTTCCACTTCACAATAACAGCAGTTGACCAGGGTAGTTCTAGCAAGGCAGAAATTGGACTAACTGACTTTTTGTAAAGGTGGCATCCTATGACAGTGCCACGTTAAAAGTCACTGAACTCTTCAGTAAGGCCATTCTACTGCCATTGTTTGTCTATGGAAAGTGCATGGCGGTGTGCTTGGTTTTATACACCAGTCAGCAACGGGTGTGCCTGAAATAAGCCAAATCCACTTATTTGAAGGGGTGTCCACATACTTTTGTATATACAGTGCATTCGGAAAGTATTCAGACCCCTTGACTTTTTCCACATTTTGTTACGTTACATTCTTATGTAAATAAAGGTATTTCTGTTTTAATTTCTAATAAATCTGCAAAAATGTCTAAAAACCTGTTTTCACTGTCATTATGGGGTATTGTGCGTAGATTGAGGGAAAATTTTACTTAATCCATTTTAGAATAAGGCTGCAACGTAACAAAATGTGGAAAAAGTGAAGGGGCCTGAATACTTTCCGAATGCAGTGTATGTGAACCACATGATTTCCATGACAAAGATCCAGAACACTAACATCAATGTGCTTCATTTGGTAAATGTTGCTCATAACCACACACAGAAGATTGACCATCGAGCATTGATTTAATGATTGCTCCTCTCTCACGACTGTGTTGAGGGAAATAAATTGCCACGTTTGCTACGAAGATTTCCAGAAACTCACAAGTGGTCATTGAAGGTCTCACATGATAAATAGGAGACAATTAATTGGTTTAAGGAGAAGAGGGATAGAAAATGAGAAAATACAAAGATAAGGGAGAGACCCTCCCAGGAGAATGGACTGGTTTTGAAGGTAAATAACCACACTGCCAAGGCTACATCTGGGGAACATATGGTAGCGACATACAGGAAGGAAAGAGCCAGAAAACAACTAAAATATTACAGCAATAAAGAAGCCTGATTCACCACAGTCATCCCACTTATGGATTGGATGTGTGGGTGGCTCAACTGCAACCGTGGGATAGAGTCCCAAATCTCACCCTATTCCCTTTATAATGCACTACTTTTGACCAGGGCCCATAGGGTTCTGCACTATGCAGCGAATACGATGCCATTTGAGAAACAGACCTTGTTATGGGGACTGTGTGGCACTCGGCTGACTGGGACCGAGCAGGGGTTGGGCCATATACACTGAGTATACCAAACATTAGGAACACCTTCCTAATATTGAGTTGCACCCCCTTTCGCCCTCAGAACATTCTAAATTCGCCGGGGCGTGGACTCTAAAAAGGTGTCGAAAGCATTCCACAGATATGCTGGCCCATGTTGACTCCAATGCTTCCCACAGTTGTGTCAAGTTGGCTGGATGTCCTTTGGGTGGTGGACCATTCTTGTTACACACAGGAAACTGTTGAGCGTGGAAAAAACCAGCAGTGATGCAGTTCTTGACAAAACCGGCGCGCTTGGCACCTACTACCATACCCCATTCAAAGGCACAAATCTTTTGTCTTGCCCATTCACCCTCTGAATGGTACATCTACAGTGAGGGAAAAAAGTATTTGATCCCCTGCTGATTTTGTACGTTTGCCCACTGACAAAGAAATGATCAGTCTATAATTTTAATGGTAGGTGTATTTGAACAGTGAGAGACAGAATAACAACAACAAAAATCCAGAAAAACGCATGTCAAAAATGTTATAAATTGATTTGCATTTTAATGAGGGAAATAAGTATTTGACCCCCTCTCAATCAGAAAGATTTCTGGCTCCCAGGTGTCTTTTATACAGGTAACGAGCTGAGATTAGGACAGAGGGGTCAAATACTTATTTCCCCCATTAAAATGCAAATCAATTTATAACATTTTTGACATGCGTTTTTCTGGATTTTTTTGTTGTTATTCTGTCTCTCACTGTTCAAATAAACCTACCATTAAAATTATAGACTGATCATTTCTTTGTCAGTGGGCAAACGTACAAAATCAGCAGGGGATCAAATACTTTTTTCCCCTCACTGTACACAATCCATGTCTCAATTGTCTCAAGGCTTAAAAATCATTTTACCCATCTCCTCCCTTTCATCTACACTGATTGAAGTGAATTTACAAAGTGACATCAATAAAGGATCATAGCTTTCATCTGGATTCACCTGGTCAGTCTGTCATGAAAAGAGCAGGTGTTCTTAATATGTTTTGTATACTCAGTGTACAGTCTGACCTTTTAAGGCATATTTGAGACAAAGATTTGGGGATGGTATTTATTTAGAAACTTCTAATAATATCAGTACATTTTCAAAGTGTTAATATGAATGTAAACACATTTAAATATCACAGAATTTCAGGATGTTTATTTAAATGTAACACTACTTGAAAAAGTAAAGGCACAACGCTCGCTCACCATTAAAAACTAATTGTTTTCTTTAACCTCTTGAATAATGGGGGAAAATGTAGATTTCCGCCTAAATAGACATACCCAAAAGTAATCATTTTTCATGAGATGGCCATAAACAATAACAGGTAATGTTGTATAGTTTTAGAAAGGTCTGGAACACACCTTTCTGGTAAAAAAAATCATTTGTAATTGCTGAGGTGTACTCACTGTTGAGGACACAAGCTCAAGTACATAGCACAAATATTATGAAAATATGAAATAGAAAAATCATGATTTTTTCCCCTATTCAACAAATGTGGAGCAATAGGGCTTGAAATGACTGATGCTTTGTAAATATAGTAACAATCAAATTATAAATGACTTACTATAAGATTGCGCCTTTCTTATAACTAAAACAAATATGATCATACTTAGTGACAGTACAATATTGGCACTATTTCATACAACTGACAGAATGTTCTCCTAAACGTCCACTGAGCAGCACAGAGACAATTCAATGTGTGCAGACTCTTTACAACTTCAGCTTTAAACACAAAGTGATTTCATCCATCTGTGACCAAGAGAAAGTGGTCTTGTTTAAATTCTATGAAATTATTTAGTATTATGTCATTTTGAGAGCTCTAAATCCGGCTGAGAATATCACGGTGAGATGAAACCACAACTGTTGGATTCGCTAGACTGTCCCCTTTCATATACCGTATCCCAGGCAGGGCTCCTTCACTCAGAGGAAGAGCAAATATATTATTTGTCTGGACAGGGCAGAAAATGTGACACGTCACTCGCTACGCAAATGTCGGGTGCAGACAGATGGGTGCAGACAGATGGGGCTGTCTGGCACTATAAGGCACAGGTCCCTACAACATTCACAGAGTGCTTTGTACATGAAAATGTCAGTCGGAACCACTCCAGAACTGCGCAAAGTCCCCCAAGTTAAAAACCTTGACGTTTCGGCCATCAATGGCTAGGTTGAGTTTAATGCTGAGCGAGTGTTGTGCCTTTTCCTTTTCAATTAAGGTGCCCTCCACTCTTTCCAAATTAAAACATGAATTACATATTATTTTAGTTTAAATGACAGGTTGACTTTTTTTCTAAATGGCATGTTTCTTTTTTTGATTTCACTTGGTTTTGAGAAACTTACCCCACCAGCGATAGACTTCCTCATGCTCGTTCTGCAGTTACAGGGGCACAGATAAAACATGAACAAACGCTCCAAAAACACCCAAGTACATCCTTTTAGAAACGGTAACGCTCACAGTATAGTGATGCAGGTCTTGAAAGATGCACGGAGAAGGGCTACACGGAGAAGTATCGCTCGAGTCCAACAATTTTGAATTTAAAGTTCGGAAAGACACAATCTCATGTGTACAATGTCTAAAGACCTGCATCACTATACTGAGATCAATGCCGTTTTTAAAAGAACGTATTTGGGTGTTTTTTTAGCTTTTGTTCATGTTTTATCTGTGCCCCTGCAACTGCAGAACGAGCATGAGGAAGTCTATCGCTGGTGGGGTAAGTTTCTCAAAACCAAGTGAAATCGCAAAAAAGTGTCTGAACACTTCTATAAAATGCCATATTCATCCAAAAAACAGATTTGGTTAAAATAAAGTGAACCTGTCCTTTAGGTAAAAGACAAAATACAGAGCCTATTCAGTACAAATAAATCTTCCACATTTAAGTATACAGGTTACTCTGAGCCTCAGTGATTATGGCAAACTTTCGGAGGACGTCAGCGCTCAGACAAGGCTCCAACTGGAGGTAAAATGGGGGGAGAGAGAGGGAGATAGAGAGAGATCAGCAACGGAAGACAAAGCTTTTGAGAACACTGAACAGTGTTGAATAGCTACCATTAGGATATTAAATACTCTACAACAGGGATGGGAAACTGTTGGAAACTTACCTTTGAGAGTTTGAATAATAGAACACACAGGTGCAATTTCAAAATTTGGTTGTGCATCAGCAGTCACTCAATTAGCCAATATCAGCATTTTTCTTTTAGATTGGTAAATTAGCTGGCCGCTAGACTATCTAAACTTGTAGTAAGCATGGTCGAATTACTGACTGGGATAGGCCCCATTGCTCATCAGATATATTAAAAACTGCAAACATTTGCCTCTATCCTATGGCAAAATGTCTAGAATTGCAGGAAATTAAATGTAACTATAATAATAATATAATATGCCATTTAGCAGATGCTTTTATCCAAAGCGACTTACAGTCATGTGTGCATACATTTTTACGTATGAGTGGTCCCGGGGATCGAACCCACTACCCTTGCGTTACAAGCGCCATGCTCTACCAATTGAGCTACAGAGGACCACACATTTATGTATCTTCACTGACACGAGGGAGACAACTAAAATGTTTTGCTCGCAAGGTGGGGGGTGCCCATCCCTGCTCTACAATGTATGCGCTCACCTTGACCAACTTGCTTAGACACAACAGAACAGGTTTGTAGGTTTCCATGGTGATAGAGTCTGGGCTGATGACATCAGTGTAGCACTGGTACAGAACAGCTGGAATCTGATGGACTTGGCAGTGGCTCAGTACTGAGGAAAGAATAGAGATCCATTTAAGTTGACATTCTGTGTGAAAATGAAACAGAAATGAACCAAAAATAACCATAACGTTTTGGAATTTTCCAGAATGTAATCCATGGAAAGGTCCTAAGGAGAAATAATGACATCAATTCAGCAAGTTGGCTAATATGCATGATCCAGCAAGAATATTTGACAAATTAAATCAGTTTCGTTAATGCAAGTGCTTTTTACGCAAGTAAAACATGCCTGAACATGGTTGGGGTCAATTCCATTTCAAAGTCGATCAATTGAATGAATTGAAAATAGCCCATTATTTAATTCTGTGGAATTAAATGGAAGACTTCAACCCAGGGAATCAAAGACATCAGTATGGTGGTACCTGCAGCTGGCAGTCCAGTGAGGATGTTGGGCTGCTCTAGTGCAGGGCAGAGGGCCTGGCTTTTGGAGGCACTGCTCTTGAGGGAGCGTAGGAAGGGGACAGCGCTACCATAGAGGTAGTCTGGCGTTTTGTACTCAGCCACAGGGCTGTCCGACAGCACCATCACACTGAGCCCTCTCTTCTGGAGGCAGCCAAACACCTAGAACCAGATGGAAGAAGGGAGAAAGTTAAGAGACCATAGTCATTGGTGACCAGTGCTTTTACAGTCACATCTACTTATAATCATATCAAGCAGTGGGCATCAACCTAAACCTCTACAAGGCAACTATAAAATCACAAGAGCTTTACCTTTTCTGTCCATTGAAACAGTTGGTCCTCCGCAATGTAACAAGTGCTTTGGCAGACCAGGACCTACAAAAGCAACACAAGAATATGCTTTAAAGCAGTGGTCACCAACCAGTCGATCGCGAGGCTTTCCTAGTTTTTCCCCATCTCCAAGGCTTTCCTACTCAATCGCCAAACATTTCTAATTTTTAAAAAAACAACGATAAAGCCTTGCGTTCCTATTTTTTTATTTGTTCCGCACTGTTTCCGGTAGGTGCACTTGATTCAACTGCCCTGCGTGCCGGGTATCGAAGTGTTCCCATTTTTAACCATTTCATGTGTCTGAAGGAACGAACTCAACATACCCGGCAGGCCCGGGGAGCAAATTAAGTACACCCATAGGTCTACCGCTGGCCAATCAGATAGCTCAGATCACCGTGTCTGCAGCTTCCACGAGCCCACAGCGAAGTTGATAGTCGACTCTACTGTGTGAGATTCAAAACGTAAAAAATCATGACTAGAAACTGTCAACGAATATAGCAAAGAGCTGCCGTTAATGTTTAAGATTTTATTCAGCACTATCAACACATTTATAAGCAATAAAAAAATACTCCCCCTATCCACTCACGCTACAAAGTTTATCGATAGACTTGCGTTGTTATTATCGGCTTGTCTTTCTAATATAGAGGAGTAGCCCATTTCACGTTATCTGGTCATACGAGTAACATTAATTGGTGCATGAGCCAGAAAACCATTAGAGGCAGCCTCTCTCGAAACCCGCCCTCCGCTGAGACTGACCATCAGATGCAGGCACCATCAGTCCAGTAAAATAAACCATTTCAATGTATGCTTCCCAAGTAATGCTACAAATTATATATTACCAGTGTGATCATATACCTCACGTTTTGAAATATAATTTTAAAAAACGGTCTGAGAAGCACAACATTGGCAGGACAATTCAAGAAGTCTATATGCAGTGAGAATGTATTGAGCTTATAGCCTATGCACAAACCTCATTGCTACAAAACAGTTTTTGATAGGTTCATGTGGCATAGGCTTACGATGAAGTCATAAAAAAAAAAAAATATATATATATATATATATATATATATATATATATATATATATATATATATACACACACACACATACATACACACACACACACACACACACACAGTGGGGAAAAAAATTATTTAGTCAGGCACCAATTGTACAAGTTCTCCCACTTAAAAAGATGAGAGAGGCCTGTAATTTTCATCATAGGTACACGTCAACTATGACAGACAAATTGAGGAAAAAAAATCCAGAAAATCACATTGTAGGATTTTTTATGAATTTATTAGCAAATTATGGTGGAAAATAAGTATTTGGTCACCTACAAACAAGCAAGATTTCTGGCTCTCACAGACCTGTAACAACTTCTTTAAGAGGCTCCTCTGTCCTCCACTCGTTACCTGTATTAATGGCACCGGTTTGAACTTGTTATCAGTATAAAAGACACCTGTCCACAACCTCAAACAGTCACACTCCAAACTCCACTATGGCCAAGACCAAAGAGCTGTCAAAGGACACCAGAAACAAAATTGTAGACCTGCATCAGGCTGGGAAGACTGAATCTGCAATAGGTAAGCAGCTTGGTTTGAAGAAATCAACTGTGGGAGCAATTATTAGGAAATGGAAGACATACAAGACCCACTGATAATCTCCCTCGATCTGGGGCTCCACGCAAGATCTCACCCCCGCGGGGTCAAAATGATCACAAGAACGGTGAGCAAAAATCCCAGAACCACACGGGGGGACCTAGTGAATGACCTGTAGAGAGCTGGGACCAAAGTAACAAAGCCTACCATCAGTAACACACTACGCCGCCAGGGACTCAAATCCTGCAGTGCCAGACGTGTCCCCCTGCTTAAGCCAGTACATGCTGAGCTGCATCCAAAGAACACCATACCTACTGTGAAGCATGGGGGTGGAAACATCATGCTTTGGGGCTGTTTTTCTGCAAAGGGACCAGGACGACTGATCCGTGTAAAGGAAATAATGAATGGGGCCATGTATCGTGAGATTTGAGTGAAAACCTCCTTCCATCAGCAAGGGCATTGAAGATGAAACGTGGCTGGGTCTTTCAGCATGACAATGAACCCAAACACACCGCCCGGGCAACGAAGAAGTGGCTTCGTAAGAAGCATTTCAAGGTCCTGAAGTGGCCTAGCCAGTCTCCAGAGATCAACCCCATAGAAAATCTTTGGAGGGAGTTGAAAGTCTGTGTTGCCCAGCGACAGCCCCAAAACATCACTGCTCTAGAGGAGATCTGCATGGAGGAATGGGCCAAAATACCAGCAACAGTGTGTGAAAACCTTGTGAAGACTTACAGAAAACGTTTGACCTGTGTCATTGCCAACAAAGGGTATATAACAAAGTATTGAGAAACTTTTGTTATTGACCAAATACTTATTTTCCACCATAATTTGCAAATAAATTCATTAAAAATCCTACAATATGATTTTCTGGAAAAAATTTCTCATTTTGTCTGTCATAGTTGACGTGTACCTATGATGAAAATTATAGGCCTCTCTCATCTTTTTAAGTGGGAGAGCTTGCACAATTGGTGGCTGACTAAATACTTTTTTCCCCCACTGTATACACACACACACACACACAGTACCAATCAACCGTTTGGACAAACCTACTCATTCAAGGGTTTTTCTATGTTTTTACAATTTTTTACAGTGTAGAATAATAATGAACACATCAAAACTATGAAATAACACATCTGGAATCATGTAGTAACCAAAAAACTGTTAAACAAAACAAAATATATTCTTCAAATAGCCACCCTTTACCTTGATGACAGCTTTGCACACTCTTGGCATTCTCTCAACCAGCTTCACCTGGAATTCTTTCCAACAATCTTGAAGGAGTTCCCACATATGCTGAGCACTTGTTGGCTGCTTTTCCTTCACTCTGCCGTCCGACTCATCCCAAACCATCGAAACCTGTTTACTGTCACTTCCGTTCTGAGCGTTTCACTTGTCTCCGTGCTACGCTGTTTGTTGCTGCTTGGCTACCTGCCAAACTTGACGGTTTTTACTTTTTAAAAACCATTTAATCAATCTTCATTTAACCAACGTCTTAGTTATTTTTATATAATTTTTTCCCCTCGCTCAATATTTTTCTCCCCGGACACGGTTCTACAGGACCTCCACCAGCCGAAGCTAAGTAGTAACATTAACACTATGCCATCTAATTGCAGTCCCTGTACTCATAACATACAGGAAAACTATCGCCTTATGGTGAGGATAGCTGTGCTGCAAGCCCAGCTTCAGATGCAATCGTTAGGCAAGGGCAATTTAAGTGTAGGAAAGGATGAAACAGAGTCTGTGCCACCAGTAAGTACAGATAGTAGTATAAATCCCCTCACACAGTCCCCACAGCCGGACAATTTTCTCATGGCTTCTGGAAAGAAATGCCACACACCGTGGGATAGAGTCATTTTAATGAGGGAAATAAGTATTTGACCCCCTCTCAATCAGAAAGATTTCTGGCTCCCAGGTGTCTTTTATACAGGTAACGAGCTGAGATTAGGACAGAGGGGTCAAATACTTATTTCCCCCATTAAAATGCAAATCAATTTATAACATTTTTGACATGCGTTTTTCTGGATTTTTTTGTTGTTATTCTGTCTCTCACTGTTCAAATAAACCTACCATTAAAATTATAGACTGATCATTTCTTTGTCAGTGGGCAAACGTACAAAATCAGCAGGGGATCAAATACTTTTTTCCCCTCACTGTACACAATCCATGTCTCAATTGTCTCAAGGCTTAAAAATCATTTTACCCATCTCCTCCCTTTCATCTACACTGATTGAAGTGAATTTACAAAGTGACATCAATAAAGGATCATAGCTTTCATCTGGATTCACCTGGTCAGTCTGTCATGAAAAGAGCAGGTGTTCTTAATATGTTTTGTATACTCAGTGTACAGTCTGACCTTTTAAGGCATATTTGAGACAAAGATTTGGGGATGGTATTTATTTAGAAACTTCTAATAATATCAGTACATTTTCAAAGTGTTAATATGAATGTAAACACATTTAAATATCACAGAATTTCAGGATGTTTATTTAAATGTAACACTACTTGAAAAAGTAAAGGCACAACGCTCGCTCACCATTAAAAACTAATTGTTTTCTTTAACCTCTTGAATAATGGGGGAAAATGTAGATTTCCGCCTAAATAGACATACCCAAAAGTAATCATTTTTCATGAGATGGCCATAAACAATAACAGGTAATGTTGTATAGTTTTAGAAAGGTCTGGAACACACCTTTCTGGTAAAAAAAAATCATTTGTAATTGCTGAGGTGTACTCACTGTTGAGGACACAAGCTCAAGTACATAGCACAAATATTATGAAAATATGAAATAGAAAAATCATGATTTTTTCCCCTATTCAACAAATGTGGAGCAATAGGGCTTGAAATGACTGATGCTTTGTAAATATAGTAACAATCAAATTATAAATGACTTACTATAAGATTGCGCCTTTCTTATAACTAAAACAAATATGATCATACTTAGTGACAGTACAATATTGGCACTATTTCATACAACTGACAGAATGTTCTCCTAAACGTCCACTGAGCAGCACAGAGACAATTCAATGTGTGCAGACTCTTTACAACTTCAGCTTTAAACACAAAGTGATTTCATCCATCTGTGACCAAGAGAAAGTGGTCTTGTTTAAATTCTATGAAATTATTTAGTATTATGTCATTTTGAGAGCTCTAAATCCGGCTGAGAATATCACGGTGAGATGAAACCACAACTGTTGGATTCGCTAGACTGTCCCCTTTCATATACCGTATCCCAGGCAGGGCTCCTTCACTCAGAGGAAGAGCAAATATATTATTTGTCTGGACAGGGCAGAAAATGTGACACGTCACTCGCTACGCAAATGTCGGGTGCAGACAGATGGGTGCAGACAGATGGGGCTGTCTGGCACTATAAGGCACAGGTCCCTACAACATTCACAGAGTGCTTTGTACATGAAAATGTCAGTCGGAACCACTCCAGAACTGCGCAAAGTCCCCCAAGTTAAAAACCTTGACGTTTCGGCCATCAATGGCTAGGTTGAGTTTAATGCTGAGCGAGTGTTGTGCCTTTTCCTTTTCAATTAAGGTGCCCTCCACTCTTTCCAAATTAAAACATGAATTACATATTATTTTAGTTTAAATGACAGGTTGACTTTTTTTCTAAATGGCATGTTTCTTTTTTTGATTTCACTTGGTTTTGAGAAACTTACCCCACCAGCGATAGACTTCCTCATGCTCGTTCTGCAGTTACAGGGGCACAGATAAAACATGAACAAACGCTCCAAAAACACCCAAGTACATCCTTTTAGAAACGGTAACGCTCACAGTATAGTGATGCAGGTCTTGAAAGATGCACGGAGAAGGGCTACACGGAGAAGTATCGCTCGAGTCCAACAATTTTGAATTTAAAGTTCGGAAAGACACAATCTCATGTGTACAATGTCTAAAGACCTGCATCACTATACTGAGATCAATGCCGTTTTTAAAAGAACGTATTTGGGTGTTTTTTTAGCTTTTGTTCATGTTTTATCTGTGCCCCTGCAACTGCAGAACGAGCATGAGGAAGTCTATCGCTGGTGGGGTAAGTTTCTCAAAACCAAGTGAAATCGCAAAAAAGTGTCTGAACACTTCTATAAAATGCCATATTCATCCAAAAACAGATTTGGTTAAAATAAAGTGAACCTGTCCTTTAGGTAAAAGACAAAATACAGAGCCTATTCAGTACAAATAAATCTTCCACATTTAAGTATACAGGTTACTCTGAGCCTCAGTGATTATGGCAAACTTTCGGAGGACGTCAGCGCTCAGACAAGGCTCCAACTGGAGGTAAAATGGGGGGAGAGAGAGGGAGATAGAGAGAGATCAGCAACGGAAGACAAAGCTTTTGAGAACACTGAACAGTGTTGAATAGCTACCATTAGGATATTAAATACTCTACAACAGGGATGGGAAACTGTTGGAAACTTACCTTTGAGAGTTTGAATAATAGAACACACAGGTGCAATTTCAAAATTTGGTTGTGCATCAGCAGTCACTCAATTAGCCAATATCAGCATTTTTCTTTTAGATTGGTAAATTAGCTGGCCGCTAGACTATCTAAACTTGTAGTAAGCATGGTCAAATTACTGACTGGGATAGGCCCCATTGCTCATCAGATATATTAAAAACTGCAAACATTTGCCTCTATCCTATGGCAAAATGTCTAGAATTGCAGGAAATTAAATGTAACTATAATAATAATATAATATGCCATTTAGCAGATGCTTTTATCCAAAGCGACTTACAGTCATGTGTGCATACATTTTTACGTATGAGTGGTCCCGGGGATCGAACCCACTACCCTTGCGTTACAAGCGCCATGCTCTACCAATTGAGCTACAGAGGACCACACATTTATGTATCTTCACTGACACGAGGGAGACAACTAAAATGTTTTGCTCGCAAGGTGGGGGGTGCCCATCCCTGCTCTACAATGTATGCGCTCACCTTGACCAACTTGCTTAGACACAACAGAACAGGTTTGTAGGTTTCCATGGTGATAGAGTCTGGGCTGATGACATCAGTGTAGCACTGGTACAGAACAGCTGGAATCTGATGGACTTGGCAGTGGCTCAGTACTGAGGAAAGAATAGAGATCCATTTAAGTTGACATTCTGTGTGAAAATGAAACAGAAATGAACCAAAAATAACCATAACGTTTTGGAATTTTCCAGAATGTAATCCATGGAAAGGTCCTAAGGAGAAATAATGACATCAATTCAGCAAGTTGGCTAATATGCATGATCCAGCAAGAATATTTGACAAATTAAATCAGTTTCGTTAATGCAAGTGCTTTTTACGCAAGTAAAACATGCCTGAACATGGTTGGGGTCAATTCCATTTCAAAGTCGATCAATTGAATGAATTGAAAATAGCCCATTATTTAATTCTGTGGAATGAAATGGAAGACTTCAACCCAGGGAATCAAAGACATCAGTATGGTGGTACCTGCAGCTGGCAGTCCAGTGAGGATGTTGGGCTGCTCTAGTGCAGGGCAGAGGGCCTGGCTTTTGGAGGCACTGCTCTTGAGGGAGCGTAGGAAGGGGACAGCGCTACCATAGAGGTAGTCTGGCGTTTTGTACTCAGCCACAGGGCTGTCCGACAGCACCATCACACTGAGCCCTCTCTTCTGGAGGCAGCCAAACACCTAGAACCAGATGGAAGAAGGGAGAAAGTTAAGAGACCATAGTCATTGGTGACCAGTGCTTTTACAGTCACATCTACTTATAATCATATCAAGCAGTGGGCATCAACCTAAACCTCTACAAGGCAACTATAAAATCACAAGAGCTTTACCTTTTCTGTCCATTGAAACAGTTGGTCCTCCGCAATGTAACAAGTGCTTTGGCAGACCAGGACCTACAAAAGCAACACAAGAATATGCTTTAAAGCAGTGGTCACCAACCAGTCGATCGCGAGGCTTTCCTAGTTTTTCCCCCATCTCCAAGGCTTTCCTACTCAATCGCCAAACATTTCTAATTTTTAAAAAAACAACGATAAAGCCTTGCGTTCCTATTTTTTTTATTTGTTCCGCACTGTTTCCGGTAGGTGCACTTGATTCAACTGCCCTGCGTGCCGGGTATCGAAGTGTTCCCATTTTTAACCATTTCATGTGTCTGAAGGAACGAACTCAACATACCCGGCAGGCCCGGGGAGCAAATTAAGTACACCCATAGGTCTACCGCTGGCCAATCAGATAGCTCAGATCACCGTGTCTGCAGCTTCCACGAGCCCACAGCGAAGTTGATAGTCGACTCTACTGTGTGAGATTCAAAACGTAAAAAATCATGACTAGAAACTGTCAACGAATATAGCAAAGAGCTGCCGTTAATGTTTAAGATTTTATTCAGCACTATCAACACATTTATAAGCAATAAAAAAAAAACTCCCCCTATCCACTCACGCTACAAAGTTTATCGATAGACTTGCGTTGTTATTATTGGCTTGTCTTTCTAATATAGAGGAGTAGCCCATTTCACGTTATCTGGTCATACGAGTAACATTAATTGGTTCATGAGCCAGAAAACCATTAGAGGCAGCCTCTCTCAAAACCCGCCATCCGCTGAGACTGACCATCAGATGCAGGCACCATCAGTCCAGTAAAATAAACCATTTCAATGTATGCTTCCCAAGTAATGCTACAAATTATATATTACCAGTGTGATCATATACCTCACGTTTTGAAATATAATTTTTAAAAACGGTCTGAGAAGCACAACATTGGCAGGACAATTCAAGAATAGTCTATATGCAGTGAGAATGTATTGAGCTTATAGCCTATGCACAAACCTCATTGCTACAAAACAGTTTTTGATAGGTTCATGTGGCATAGGCTTACGATGAAGTCATAAAAAAAAAAAATATATAGATATATATATATATATATATATATACACACACACAGTGGGGGAAAAACAGTATTTAGTCAGGCACCAATTGTACAAGTTCTCCCACTTAAAAAGATGAGAGAGGCCTGTAATTTTCATCATAGGTACACGTCAACTATGACAGACAAATTGAGGAAAGAAAATCCAGAAAATCACATTGTAGGATTTTTAATGAATTTATTAGCAAATTATGGTGGAAAATAAGTATTTGGTCACCTACAAACAAGCAAGATTTCTGGCTCTCACAGACCTGTAACAACTTCTTTAAGAGGCTCCTCTGTCCTCCACTCGTTACCTGTATTAATGGCACCGGTTTGAACTTGTTATCAGTATAAAAGACACCTGTCCACAACCTCAAACAGTCACACTCCAAACTCCACTATGGCCAAGACCAAAGAGCTGTCAAAGGACACCAGAAACAAAATTGTAGACCTGCATCAGGCTGGGAAGACTGAATCTGCAATAGGTAAGCAGCTTGGTTTGAAGAAATCAACTGTGGGAGCAATTATTAGGAAATGGAAGACATACAAGACCCACTGATAATCTCCCTCGATCTGGGGCTCCACGCAAGATCTCACCCCGCGGGGTCAAAATGATCACAAGAACGGTGAGCAAAAATCCCAGAACCACACGGGGGGACCTAGTGAATGACCTGCAGAGAACTGGGACCAAAGTAACAAAGCCTACCATCAGTAACACACTACGCCGCCAGGGACTCAAATCCTGCAGTGCCAGACGTGTCCCCCTGCTTAAGCCAGTACATGTCCAGGCCCGTCTGAAGTTTGCTAGAGTGCATTTGGATGATCCAGAAGATGATTGGGAGAATGTCATATGGTCAGATGAAACCAAAATAGAACTTTTTGGTAAAAACTCAACTCGTCGTGTTTGGAGGACAAAGAATGCTGAGTTGCATCCAAAGAACACCATACCTACTGTGAAGCATGGGGGTGGAAACATCATGCTTTGGGGCTGTTTTTCTGCAAAGGGACCAGGACGACTGATCCGTGTAAAGGAAAGAATGAATGGGGCCATGTATCGTGAGATTTTGAGTGAAAACCTCCTTCCATCAGCAAGGGCATTGAAGATGAAACGTGGCTGGGTCTTTCAGCATGACAATGAACCCAAACACACCGCCCGGGCAACGAAGAAGTGGCTTCGTAAGAAGCATTTCAAGGTCCTGAAGTGGCCTAGCCAGTCTCCAGATCTCAACCCCATAGAAAATCTTTGGAGGGAGTTGAAAGTCTGTGTTGCCCAGCGACAGCCCCAAAACATCACTGCTCTAGAGGAGATCTGCATGGAGGAATGGGCCAAAATACCAGCAACAGTGTGTGAAAACCTTGTGAAGACTTACAGAAAACGTTTGACCTGTGTCATTGCCAACAAAGGGTATATAACAAAGTATTGAGAAACTTTTGTTATTGACCAAATACTTATTTTCCACCATAATTTGCAAAAATATTCATAAAAAATCCTACAATATGATTTTCTGGATTTTTTTTCTCATTTTGTCTGTCATAGTTGACGTGTACCTATGATGAAAATTATAGGCCTCTCTCATCTTTTTAAGTGGGAGAACTTGCACAATTGGTGGCTGACTAAATACTTTTTTCCCCCACTGTAAACACACAGTACCAATCAACCGTTTGGACACACCTACTCATTCAAGGGTTTTTCTTTGTTTTTACAATTTTTTACAGTGTAGAATAATAATGAACACATCAAAACTATGAAATAACACATCTGGAATCATGTAGTAACCAAAAAACTGTTAAACAAAACTAAATCTATTCTTCAAATAGCCACCCTTTACCTTGATGACAGCTTTGCACACTCTTGGCATTCTCTCAACCAGCTTCACCTGGAATGCTTTTCCAACAGTCTTGAAGGAGTTCCCACATATGCTGAGCACTTGTTGGCTGCTTTTCCTTCACTCTGCCGTCCGACTCATCCCAAACCATCGAAACCTGTTTACTGTCACTTCCGTTCTGAGCGCTTCACTTGTCTCCGTGCTACGCTGTTTGTTGCTGCTTGGCTACCTGCCAAAAACTTGACGGTTTTTACTTTTTAAAAACCATTTAATCAATCTTCATTTAACCAACGTCTTAGTTATTTTTATATAATTTTTTCCCCTCGCCCAATTTTTTTCTCCCCGGACGCGGTTCTACAGGACCTCCACCAGCCGAAGCTAAGTAGTAACATTAACACTATGCCATCTAATTGCAGTCCCTGTACTCATAACATACAGGAAAACTATCGCCTTATGGTGAGAATAGCTGTGCTGCAAGCCCAGCTTCAGATGCAATCGTTAGGCAAGGGCAATTTAAGTGTAGGAAAGGATGAAACAGAGTCTGTGCCACCAGTAAGTACAGATAGTAGTATAAATCCCCTCACACAGTCCCCGCAGCCGGACAATTTTCTCATGGCTTCTGGAAAGAAATGCTGTCGGCATGCTCAACCGTTGTTGCTCATTCAGCCGACAGAAACTTTCAACCGGTTCTCCCCAGTAAGCAACGAGTCGGAGTCAAAGGCCGAGCCTTCTCAGGTCTCTCCTCCACCCGTTACGGGTTCTGAGCCACCAAAGCCTCCCACCATTAGCTCTGACAAATTGAAACCTAGTCATTGGCGACTCCATTACCCGCAATATTAGACTTAAAATGTATCATCCAGCAATCATACACTGTTTACCAGGGGGCAGGGCTACCGACGTAAAGGCTAATCTGAAGATGGTGCTGGCTAATGCAAAAACTGGCGAGAGTACAGAATATAGGGATATTGTTATCCACGTCGGCACCAACGATGTTAGGATGAAACAGTCAGAGGTCACCACGAGCAACATAGCTTTAGCGTGTAAATTAGCTAGAAAGATGTGTCAGTATCGAGTAATTGTCTCTGGCCCCCTCCCAGTTAGGGCGAGTGATGAGTCTCACAACTCAATCACTGGTTGAAAACTGTTTTCTGTCCCTCCCAAAATATAGAATTTGTAGATAAAATCGGCCCTCTTTCTGGGACTCACCCACAAACAGGACCAAGCCTGGCCTGCTGAGGAGTGACGGACTCCATCCTAGCTGGAGGGGTGCTCTCATCTTATCTACCAACATAGACAGGGCTCTAACTCCTCTAGCTCCACAATGAGATGGCCACCTTAGTGGAGTCTGCCACTAGCACAGTCAGTGTAGTCAGCTCAGCTATCCCCATTGAGACTGTGTCTGTGCCTCGGTCTAGGTTGAGCAAAACTAAACATGGCGGTGTTCGCCTAAGCAATCTCACTGGAATAAAGACCTCCTCCATTCCTGTCATTATTGAAAGAGATTGTGATATCTCACATCTCAAAATATGCCTACTTAATGTTAGATCCCTCACTTCCAAGGCAGTTATGGTCAATTAACTAATCATAATATTGATGCAAATTTCACTTTACCACCAAAATAATTACTGAGTTTGTCTTTTGAGCTTCTAGTCATGAAATCTATGCAGCTTACTCAATCACTTTATATAGCTACTGTTTACAGGCCTCCTGGGCCGTATACAGAGTTCTTCACAGAGTTCCCTGAATTCCTATCGGACCTTGTAGTCACGGCAGATAATATTCTAATTTTTGGTTACTTTAATATTCACATGGAAAAGTCCACAGACCCACTCAAAGGCTTTCGGAGCCATCATTGACTCAATGGGTTTTGTCCAACATGTCTCCGGACCTACTCATTGCCACAGTCATACCCTGGATCTAGTTGTCACGTGGAATAAATATTGTGGATCTAAATATTTTTCCTCATAACCCTGCACTATCGGACCAACATTTTATTACGTTTGCAATCGCAACAAATAATCTGTTCAGACCCCAACCAAGGACCATCAAAAGCCATGCTATAAATTCTCGGACAACCCAAAGATTCCTAGAGGCCCTTCCAGACTCCCTCCTGTGACTTGAACTCTGCAGCATTTATTTGGGCTGCAATTTCTGAGGCTGGTAACTCTAATGAACTTATCCTCTGCAGCAGAGGTAACTCTGGGTCTTCCATTCCTGTGGCGGTTTCATGAGAGACAGTTTCATCATAGCGCTTGATGGTTTTTGCGACTGCACTTGAAGAAACGTTCAAAGTTCTTGATATTTTACATATTGACTGACTTTCATGTCTTAAAGTAATGATGGACTGTCGTTTCTCTTTGCTTATTTGAGCTGTTCTTGCCATAATATGGACTTGGTCTTTTACCAAATAGGCCTATCTTCTGTATACCCCCCCTACCTTGTCACAACACAACTGATTGGCTCAAACACATTAAGAGCTGTCATCAAGGCAAAGGGTGGCTTTTTGAAGAATCTCAAATAAAATATATTTTGATTTGTTTAACACTTTTTTGGTTACTACATGATTCCATGTGTTATTTCATCGTTTTGTTGTCTTCACTATTATTCTACAATGTAAAAAATAGTAAAAATAAAGAAAAACCCTTGAATGAGTAGGTGTCCAAACTTTTGACTGGTAGTGTGTGTATACACTACCATTCAAAAGTTTGGGGTCACTTAGAAATATCCTTGTTTTCGAAAGGAAAGCAATTTTTCCCCCATTAAAATAACATAAAATTGATCAGAAATACAGAGTAGACATTGTTAATGTTGTAAATGGCTATTGTAGCTGGAAACGGCTGATTTTTAATGGAATATCTACAGAGGCGTACAGAGGCCCATTATCAGCAACCATCAGTCCTGTGTTCCAATGGCACGTTGTGTTTGCTAATACAAGTTTATCATTTTAAAAGGCTAATTGATCATTAGAAAACCCTTTTGCAAGTATGTTAGCACAGCTGAAAACTGTTGTGCTGATTAAAGAAGCAATACAACTGCCCTTCTTGAGACAAGTTGAGTATCTTGTGGGTTTGATTACAGGCTCAAAATGGCCAGAAACAAATAACTTTCTTCTGAAACTCGTCAGTCTATTCTTGTTCTGAGAAATGAAGGCTATTCTATGCGAGAAATTGCCAAGAAACTGAAGATCTCGTACAACGCTGTGTACTACTCCCTTCACAGAACAGTGCAAACTGGCTCTAACCAGAATAGAAAGAGGAGTGGTGCACAACTGAGCAAGAGGACAAATACATTAGTGTCTAGTTTGAGAAACAGGCGCCTCACAGGTCCTCAACTGGCAGCTTCATTAAATAGTACCCGCAAAACACCAGTCTCAACGTCAAAAATGAAGAGGCGACTCCGGGATGCTGACCTTCTAGGCAGAGTTGCAAAGAAAAAGCCATATCTCAGACTGCCCATCTTAATCTTTACTTTTTATTGGCCAATCTGAGATATGGCTTTTTCTTTGCAACTCTGCCTAGAAGGTCAGCATCCCGGCGTCGCCTCATATATATATATATATATGAGCTGTAGATCTCGGCCTGCATTTTGACTCTGAAAGTGATCTCAGCTCTGAAAAGGTTGGTGACCACTGCTTTACAGAATCTGCTGTAATCGCTGAGTCACTGACTACAGTAGCAATGAAAATATTGTTGGAACATACCTTTAAAGGTAAAGTCAGCGATCCACAAAGTAACGGCCCATAGTTCAGGAGCCTATCTCTGGACGCTAGTCTGTTGCATTTAAGAAGGTGAAGCGTTTAAGAAGAAACAATTAAGAATGTGAAGAGCGAGGCTTAAATTCTCTACTGTTTTTATCCCGCAACTCTAATATTGCAGCAGTGTGAAACGCACCTGTGCACATGCGTGGATATTTTTGCGTCTGACATTGACTATGGGCCGTTGTGGTTTGTACAAGGCTTACTTACACCTTTAAGTGTATCCTAAGTACAATTGTTGGTGTGCATTGTGTTTGATCAGCCACTCACTGCTGGGTTGTCCCTGTGTCGGTAGAAGAGACAGGCTGGCTCTCCAGGAAGTGGGGCAATGCTCTGTCTACTGGAGCCCCTACTCCTCTCATTCCATAGTGACGCATGGCCCACTGCATCCCAGCTTTCAGTGTTCAACACATACGCAGACAGAAATCCTGAAAACAATAGGAGAGAATGTTCATTCCTTGAGAAAAAGAGAAGAGAGTTAGACCAGGGGTGTATTCATTAGTCAGATTCCATTGCAAAACGTGACATAAAAGCTGTTTGGTTCCATTTCGTTCTTAAACGGAAGGTGTAGTTAATTTTAATGGTACGGTTTTCCTATTCCAATCCGAATAGTCTTCAGAGCGTTTGGCACAAGCTGCATTTTATAAATTATAGAATCTTCCCAAAACGTTTTGCAACGGAATCCGACTAATGAATACACCCCAGTCGTCTCAGGTGAGCTTACCTGCAGCATTAGGGCCCACGGCAATGATGAGGTCTGAGCATTGCAATTTGTTGCTGCCAGAGCCCTCTAGTGATTGTGCGACTTCTGTGCACCACGCAATATGGACCTCCCTGTTATGCCAGAACAAGTCAGTCAAAATCATAATCTTTACACTCAGTCACCGTGTACTAACTTATTGAAACAATAAAAGGAGCTGTGTATAGTTGATTACAGAGGACATGGTTATTTTATTGACAAGCGATGGATATTTCAAAAGAACAGTCTGCTGCATACTAAGCTACAAACGTCAAACATTTAAAAGCCTTCGCTAACTAACGTTAGTTACTAGTGAAACTGAAAGCTCAATCGCGTGCAGTTTGTGAGTCGTTAGCATTTATAGTTAGCTAGCTGTTAGTTACCTCTTTTCTTCTATCGCTCTGTGAATTTGCTCATCTTCATTTTCAGCATCCAGATCATCGTCGTCTTCTTCGACTGCACGTGAGTAAACGGATAAAACCTCTCCGAAAAACGTTGCCATCGTTTATTGTATGACTGTAGCTAGCTAGATGACTGTGCTGATAGAAAAATGTGTGCTCAAAGATCCTCACCGTGGGAGAATCTCAATTGTGTCTCCTCGCGTCCTCTCGCCTCTTTCTTAACACCCATTGGAGGAGAAGGTCAGCAAAGCGGGACCAGCTGGCTTTCTCATCCAATGGGTTTTGAGAAAGACGCGAGGAGGTACAATTGAAAAATACCCCGTGTGTACTTCCGTCGTTTTCTTCTCTTTCTCCGTTTTTCCCTCGAGTTCAACGCGACAGGTACCTATCGCCGCCTATCATGCTGGAGTGTAACAAAATATACAGTCGCTAGTGAAAGTCTACACCCCTTGAAGTTGTCACATTTTGCTGCCTTCATTTAAATCTAAAAAGGGATTAAATTGAATGCTTCTCCTACCGATCTACACAGCCTACTTCACATTTTCAAAGTGAAAGAAAATTATAGAGCATTTTCCAAATTATTTGTTATAAAAATAAAAAAAACTAAGATGTCTTGATTGTGTATGTCTTCAGAGTTAATACTTTGTGATGGTGGAAGCACCTCACGCAGCCATTACAGCTGTGAATCATTTTGAATAAGATTCTACCAACTTTGCACAACTTTAAGGGCAAAATACTGTATATCCATTGGTTTTGTCAACATTGCTCAAGCTCAGTAGACTAAATTTGGTTGGGAATCATTGATGGACAGCAATACTCAAACATTGTCTGTGATTTTCAAGTAGATTTAAGTCAAGACTGAAGCACTAAGGAACACTCAACACAACTTGGAAAGCCATTCTGGTCTGTCTTTGGCAGAAATGTGTGTGTAATTGTCCCGCTGAAAAATGCATCTCTATCCCAGGGTTAGATATTCAGAAGACTGAATATTCTGACAAACTCCCCAGTCCCTGCCCGTGGCAAGCATACCCATAACATGACGCTGCTACCACAATACTTGAAAATACAAGTTTCACTGTGTTGATTTGGATTTGACCCATCACATCTGAAGTTTTTAATTTAGACCTAAAAGTTCATTTCCTCCATGTTGTCTTTTAGTATTACTTAACAGCCTTGTTGAAAACAGAATAGATTATTTGGAGTGGATTTTTTAAACACAAGCTTCCATCTTTTCACATCTTTTCATACAGGCCAGTAATGTGGAGTGAATGCAATGTCGTTGATACTCTGTATTTTCAATTATTGTGGTAGCAGCATCATGTTATGGGTATGCTTGTCACCAGCAGGGACTAGGGAGTTTGTTAGGATCAAAAGAAATACAAAAGAAGCAAAACCCCAGTAAGAAGTTAGAGGAAAACCTGCCTCAGATTTCTGAATATACCCTGGGATGGAGTTTTATTTTTCAGCGGGACAATTACACACATTTTAATGCCAAAGACACACCAGAATGCCCTTCCAAGTGGTGTTGAGTGTTCCTGAGTGGTCCAGTGTCAGTCCTGATTTAAATCTGTTTTGAATATTGCTGTAAATCAATGATTCCCAACCACTGAGCTTGAGCAATTTTGACAAAATCAATGGATATATGTTGCCCCAACAGTTGTGCGAAGTTGGTAGAATCTTATTCAAATCTGTCCGTAAAGTAGTCTCTCACACATGCGCAGAAGCTTCGGACCTTTAGCTATTGGGAATAGGGTTCCAGAGAATATTTATGCTGCGTTCATAACATCTCGTAAATTCGTAAATACGAGCATACGACTGGGAAAAATCCTCTTGAACACCCCTCCAACTCGTAATTACTAGTGGGAAACTAGTCTATCATAGTCTCCTGAGTGGCGCAGTGGTCTAAGGCGGCGCATCGCAGTGCTAACTGTGCCACTAGAGATCCTGGTTTGAATCCAGGCTCTGTCGCAGCCGGCCGTGACCGGGAGACTCATGGGCGGCGCACAATTGGCCCAGCGTCGTCCAGGGTAGGGGAGGGAATGGCCGGCAGGGATGTAGCTCAGTTGCTAGAGCATGGCGTTTGCAACGCCAGGGTTGTGGGTTCGAGTCCCACAGGGGGCCAGTATAAAAAATATATATGTATTCACTAACTGTAAGTCGCTCTGGATAAGAGCGTCTGCTAAATGACTTAAACGTAAACGTAAACATTTCTGAGCTCCCACATGATGAACTCCGACTTCACCTACTAAGGAAATTACCTTGATAACAGCATTTTCGGCAGTTAGATGCAATAACAAAACATTATAAAAATCAATAAATTCATAAGGTTTTTGAACTTTTAGTTTATGCTTGACCCAGCATGTTTGCCTTTAGCCAGTAAGCTTGCTCAACGAGTTCAAAGCACGTGAACGCACACTGACATTGCTCCCAGTGTACAAGTAGTATTTTCTGAGACAACTGTGCAAGGAGCGTGTAGACTTTCACTAAGCATTATAGCTCTGCTTGAACCCATTTGCCTATAGGGAGACTAGATAATATAAAATCCATGTGCTTACTGTGGGTGAAAAGCTTACCCTTAGTTCAGACAGATATGGCATTGGTGGTAAATTCATAGTAGGCTGTTCACCACTTAATCATTCAACATTATGTCATATGAAAGACCAAAAGCCAACATTATATTAACACATTCATGATAAATATTTGGCCACATACACTGAACAAAAATATAAACGCAACATGTAAAGTGTTGGTCCCATGTTTCATGAGCTGAAATAAAAGATCAGACATTTTCCATGCGCACAAAAAGGTTATTTCTCTCAAATGTTGTGCACAAATTAGTTTACATCCTTGCTAGTGAGCATTTCTCCTTTGCCAAGATAATCCATCCAACTGACAGGTGAGGCATATCAAGAAGCTGATTAAACAGCATGATCATTACACAGGTGCATCTTCTGCTGGGGACAGTAAAAGGTCACTTTAACATTTGCAGTTTTGTCACACAACACAATGCCACAGATGTCAAGTTGAGGGAGTGTGCAATTTGTATGCTGACTGCAGGAATGTCCACCAGAGCTGTTGCCAGAGAGTTTAATGTATTTTTTTATGTCTGTAATAAAGACATACATTGCCCCCCCCCCCCTTTTGTGGGGAAAAACTCATTTGGATTGGCTCGGCCTGGCTCCCAAGGGGGTGGGCCTATGCCCTCCCATGGCTGCACCCCTGCCCAGTCATGTGAAATCCATAGATTAGGGCCTAATCTATTTCAATTTACTGATTTCCTTATATGAACTGTAACTCAGTAAAATCGTTGAAATTGTTGCATAATGCATTTATATTTTTGTTCAGTGTATATTTCAACTCAAACCTTCAGCTCCCTCCACAGATTTTCTATGGGATTAAGGTCTGGACACTGGCTAGGCCACTCCAGGACCTTAATGTGCTTCTTCTTGAGCCACTCCTTTGTTGCCTTGGCCGTGTGTTTTGGGTCATTGTCATGCTGGAATACCCATCCACGACCCATTTTCAATGCCCTGGCTGAGGGAAGGAGGTTCTCACCCAAGATTTGACGGTACATGGCCCCGTCCATCGTCCCTTTGATGCGGTGAAGTTGTCCTGTCCCCTTAGCAGAAAAACACCCCCAAAGCATAATGTTTCCACCTCCATGTTTGACAGTGGGGATGGTGTTCTTGGGGTCATAGGCAGCATTCCTCCTCCTCCAAACACGGCGAGTTGAGTTGATGCCAAAGAGCGCCATTTTGGTCTCATCTGAACACAACATTTTCACCCAGTTCTCCTCTGAATCATTCAGATGTTCATTGGCAAACTTCAGACAGGCCTGTATATGTGCTTTCTTGAGCAGGGAGACCTTGCGGGCGCTGCAGGATTTCAGTCCTTCACGGCATAGTGTGTTACCAATTGTTTTCTTGGTGACTATGGTCCCAGCTGCCTTGAGATCATTGACAAGATCCTCCCGTGTAGTTCTGGGCTGATTCCTCACCGTTCTCATGATCATTGCAACTCCACGAGGTGAGATCTTGCATGGAGCCCCAGGCCAAGGGAGATTGACAGTTATTTTGTGTTTCTTCCATTTGCGAATAATCGCACCAACTGTTGTCATCTTCTCACCAAGCTGCATGGCGATGGTCTTGTAGCCCATTCCAGCCTTGTGTAGGTCTACAATCTTGTCCCTGACATCCTTGGAGAGCTCTTTGGTCTTGGCCACGGTGGAGAGTTTGGAATCTGATTGATTGATTGCTTCTGTGGACAGGTGTCTTTTATACAGGTAACAAACTGAGATTAGGAGCACTCCCTTTAAGAGTGTGCTCCTAATCTCAGCTCGTTACCTGTATAAAAGACACCTGGGAGCCAGAAATCTTTCTGATTGAGAGGGGGTCAAATCCTTATTTCCCTCATTAAAATGCGAATCAATTTATAACATTTTTGACATGCGTTTTTCTGGATTTATTTGTTGTTATTCTGTCTCTCACTGTTCAAATAAACCTACCATTAAAATTATACACTGATAATTTCTTTGTCAGTGGGCAAATGTACAAAATCAGCAGGGGATCAAATACTTATTTCCCTCACTATACGTCTCGTGTCTGAGCCGTTGAATTGTGACTCCACTTTGTCTCTATGCTGATGTTTTGCCAGTTTAATTGCCTTGCAGGGTGAGTAACTACACTGTTTGTATTCTGCCATATTCCCAGTCACCTTGCCATGGTTAAATGAGGTGGTTCGCGCTTTCAGTTTCAATCTATTCACGGTTTCTGGTTAGGGTAGGTTTTAATAGTCACAACATCACCTATACACTTCCTGATAAACCCAGTCACCGTTTCAGTGTATTCATCTAAATTATTTTCGCAAGCTACCTGGAACATATCCCAGTCCGCGTGATCAAAACAATCTTGAAGCGTGGATTCCGATTGGTCAAACCAGTGTTGAATAGTCGGGTACTTCCTATTTCAGTTTCTGCCTATAGGAAGGGAGGAGCAAAATGGAGTCGTGGTCAGATTTGCCGAAAGGGGGGAGGGGGAGGGCCTTATAACCATCCCGGAAGTTCGAATAGCAATGGTCGAGGATTTTAGCAGTGCGAGTACAACAGTCGATATGTTGATAGAACTTCGGCAGCCTAGTCCTCAGATTTGCTTGGTTAAAATCCCTGGCAACAATAAATGCAGCCTCAGGATATGTGGTTTCCAGTTTGCATAAAGTCCAGTGAAGTTCTTTGAGGGCCGTCGTGATATCGGCTTGGTGGGGATATACACGGCCGTGACTATAACCGAAGAAAATTCTCTTGGAGATAGCACGGTCTGCATTTGATTGTGAGGTATTCTAGGTCGGGTGAACAAAATGACTTCAGTTCCTGTATGTTACTACAATTACACCATGAGTCGTTAATCATGAAACACACACCTCCGCCCTTCTGCTTCCCGGAGAGATATTTATTCCTGTCTGCTCGATGAACTGAGAACCCATCTGGCTAGACCGATTTCGACAGAATATCCCCAGAGAGCCATGTTTCCGTGAAACAAAGTATGTTACAGGCCTTGATGTCTCTCTGGAAAGAAATCCTTGCCCGGAGCTCATCGAACTTGTTAACCAGAGACTGAACATTAGCGAGTAGTATACTTGGAAGCAGTGGGTGGTGTGCGCGCCGAACCAGCAGGCTGCTCCGAGTGCCTCTCCTCTGCCGGCGATGTTTTGGGTCAGCCGCTGGAATCAGTTCAATTGCCCTGGGGAGAGCAAACAAAGGATCTGCTTCGGGAAAGTCGTATTCCTGGTCGTAATGCTGGTGAGTGACCGCCGCTCTGATATCCAATAGTTTTTCCCGGCTGTATGTAATGATACAAAACACTTTCTGAACTAATAATGTAAAAAATTATACATAAAAAAACAAAATATCGCAAAGTTTCCTAAGAGCTAGTCGCTGGAGTTGCTTACCAAGAAGACAGTGAATGTTCCTAAGTGGCAAAGTTACAGTTTTCACTTAAATCTGATTGAAATTCTATGGAAAGAAAATAGCTGTTTAGCCATTATCCTGACAGAGCTTGAAGAATTTTGAAAATAATAATAGGCAAATATTGCACATTCCAGGTGTGCAAAGCTCTTAGAGACTTACCCAAGAAGACTCACAGCTGTTATCGCTGCCAAAGGTGTTTCTAACGTATATGGACTCAGGGAGGTGAATACTGATGCAACATCTATATTTGATTGATCATTTTTTTTATTAATCTTTAAGAAATGTTAGAATTTGTCTTCGACTTGGACAGAGTATTTTGTGTAGATTGTTGACAAAAAAAAGGACAATTACATCCATTTTTATCTTTGTAACACAATAAAATGTGAAGTAATCCAAGGGGTCTGAATACTTTTGCAAGGCAATGTAGAAATGGCATCAGAACATTAACATAAGGTATAACCATACGCATCTTTCCATCCTAGGGCTATGCTAGTTGCACAGTGAGTATCCACATCAATGGTCACATACATGTCTTGAGGAGTGCTGGACTGGTCTGAGAGTGGAGGAAGTTAGTATGAGTATTGTCCCAGTATCCCATGTCAAGTGGTGATGTCATGGCCTCTACGGAATGATCCCAAACTGTGTTAAGGGAGAGGCAGGAAGCACAACGTTAGATTACATTTGTCGTAAGGCTGACATGTTTAGATGCAACCACATTATCAAGTCAGTACAACATTTTTCTCATTTCTAACCCCAATGCTGCCAGTGCCTTGAATAGAAAGCAAATAAGTAATTTTTGTGTTGAGCAAGGTAGGGTGAAGTTTCTATTTCCAAGGATATGTGCTACTATGGTATGGCAGTGTTTCCCCTTTATTCATTTAGCATGTTGATGCCACTCCCCAAAATCAGATAAAATGTAAAACATTTTCATATTTTTATTTTACTGGTCAAAAGTTTTAGAACACCTACTAATTCAAGGGTTTTTCTTTATTTTTACTATTTTTTACATTATAGAATAATAGTGAAGACATCAAAACTATGAAATAACACATGGAATCATGTAGTAAGCAAAAAAGTGTTAAACAAATCAAAATATAATCTTATATTTGAGATTCTTCAAATAGCCACCCTTTGCCTTGATGACAGCTTTGCACACTTGGCATTCTCTCAACCAGCTTCATGATGTAGTCACCTGGAATACATTTCAATTAACAGGTGTGCCTTATTAAAAAGTTAATTTGTGGAATTTCTTTCCTTCTTAATGTATTTGAGCCAATCAGTTGTGTTGTGACAAGGTAGGGGTGGTATACAGAAGATAGACCAAGTCCATATTATGGCAAGAACAGCTCAAATAAGCAAAGAGAAACGACAGTCCATTACTTTAAGACATGAAAATCAGTCAATAAGGAAAATGTCAAGAACTTTGAAAGTTTCGTCTAGTGCAGTCGCAAAAACCATCAAGCGCTATGATGAAACTGGCTCTCATGAGGACCGGCACAGGAATGGAAGACCATTCGAGTTACCAGCCTCAGAAATTGCAACCCAAATAAATACTTCACAGAGTTCAAGTAACAGACACATCTCAACATCAACTGTTCAGAGGAGACTGATTGAATCAGGCCTTCATGGTCAAATTGCTGCAAAGAAACCACTACTAAAGGACGCCAATAAGAAGAAGAATTTAGCTTGGTCCAAGAAAAACGAGCAATGGACATTAGACTGGTGGAAATTTGAGATTTTTGGTTCCAACCGCTGTATCTTTGTGAGACACAGAGTAGGTGAACGGATGATCTCCGCATGTGTGGTTCCCACCATGAAGCATGGAGGAGGATGTGTGGGGGTGCTTTGCTGGTGACACTGTCTGTGATTTATTTAGAATTCAAGGCACACTTAACCAGCATGGCTACCACAGCAATCTGCAGCGATACGCCATCCCATCTGGTTTGGGCTTAGTGGGACTGTCATTTGTTTTTCAACAGGACAATGACCCAACACACCTCCAGGCTGTGTAAGGGCTATTTTACCAAGAAGGAGAGTGATGAGTGCTGCATCAGATGACCTGGCATCCACAATCACCCGACCTCAACCCAATTGAGATGGTTTGGGATGAGTTGGATCGCAGTGTGAAGGAAAAGCAGCCAAAAAGTGCTCAGCATATGTGGGAACTCCTTCAAGACTGTTGGAAAAGTATTCAAGGTGAAGCTGGTTGAGAAAATGCCAAGAGTGTGCAAAGCTGTCATCAAGGCAAAGGGTGGCTATTTGAAGAATCTCAAATATTAAATATATTTTGATTTGTTTAACACTTTTTTGAATACTACATGATTCCATGTGTTATTTCATAGTTTATGTCTTCACTATTATTCTACAATGTAGAAAATAGTAAAAATAAAGAAAAACACTTGAATGAGTAGGTGTGTCCAACCTTTTGACTGGTACTGTATATTTCTGCCGAGACACGCTTTTAAGATCAGAGTGACAAGTTACAACGTATATTTGTAGCAAACAGAGCGAGCAGTGGCGATTAAATGCATTTTAAAAACGTTTGATGCATTCAGAGTCTTTGGGTTTTTCAATTAGATAAATGCAGATGGGCAACCCTATGCTTCAGCCTATTTATTTAAAACATCTATGCTGCATCACTTGGGCTACAGGTTATAATGCTTTTAAAGGGGAAATTATATTTCAGATGGTGTCAACATAATTATATTTTCATGCATTTTGGAATAGAATGTACTTTGCAAAAAGACAACAGAAGTGACCTTCTCACAGTCATTCTATTTAAACAAATCTACCCGTTAGCTTTGCCACCGCTGCTGAAAAAAATCCTAGGGTATGGTTTGGTATGGTATTGTATTGTGTGGCATGAATTGTAAGTCGCTCTGGATAAGAGCATCTGCTTACTGACTAAAATGTCAAATGTGTGTGTGCCTCACCAGTCCAGCAGCAGCACAGCTCCCAGCAGTAGTAGCAGGACAGCCAGCAGACAGGAAGAGATGACTGTGATGACCACCATTCCACCAGAGCGCTTCCCTATAAACTCATCTATGGAGGACCAGGACTTCACTGCACAGACACAGAGAATAGAATAAAATGTTTAAAAATAAATAAAAACAGAGTAAAATTGGCCTTTAAGAGGGAACACAATAAACCTGTTTTTGAAACCTTCATCATTTTCAATTCAGGCCAGGGCTTTTGTCTCCCCGGTGTGGAACGACCGGTAAACATCTTGTGCTGATTATAGGCTATATTTGTGCAATAATAATAATAATAATAATAATAATAATAATGTTCATTGTTTATTTTAGTGGCTTTATCTTACTTGATGTTAGAGAAATGGGATATGACCATTTAGACTCCGAGACCACGCCTCTGGAGACTGGATCAATGAGGATGTACTTCACCCTGAAAAATAAGAAAATACACATTTACACGTGACCCGCACTGACCTTAAAAAGACCACAACAAATCCATAAATTATACTTTTCAATTAGGTGGGACATTTCTAGGTGTAAAAGGTTGGTTGCTTTCAAGACTGACAATGACTTAAACGCATCCTTTATATATATATATATATATACACACACACACACAGTGGGGAGAACAAGTATTTGATACACTGCCGATTTTGCAGGTTTTCCTACTTACAAAGCATGTAGAGGTCTGTAATTTTTATCATAGGTACACTTCAACTGTGAGAGACGGAATCTAAAACAAAAATCCAGAAAATCACATTGTATGATTTTTAAGTAATTAATTTGCATTTTATTGCATGACATAAGTATTTGATACATCAGAAAAGCAGAACTTAATATTTGGTACAGAAACCTTTGTTTGCAATTACAGAGATCATACGTTTCCTGTAGGTCTTGACCAGGTTTGCACACACTGCAGCAGGGATTTTGGCCCACTCCTCCATACAGACCTTCTCCAGATCCTTCAGGTTTCGGGGCTGTCGCTGGGAAATACGGACTTTCAGCTCCCTCCAAAGATGTTCTATTGGGTTCAGGTCTGGAGACTGGCTAGGCCACTCCAGGACCTCAAGATGCTTCTTACGGAGCCACTCCTTAGTTGCCCTGGCTGTGTGTTTCGGGTCGTTGTCATGCTGGAAGACCCAGCCACGACCCATCTTCAATGCTCTTACTGAGGGAAGGAGGTTGTTGGCCAAGATCTCGCGATACATGGCCCCATCCATCCTCCCCTCAATACGGTGCAGTCGTCCTGTCCCCTTTGCAGAAAAGCATCCCCAAAGAATGATGTTTCCACCTCCATGCTTCACGGTTGGGATGGTGTTCTTGGGGTTGTACTCATCCTTCTTCTTCCTCCAAACACGGCGAGTGGAGTTTAGACCAAAAAGCTCTATTTTTGTCTCATCAGACCACATGACCTTCTCCCATTCCTCCTCTGGATCATCTAGGTGGTCATTGGCAAACTTCAGACGGGCCTGGACATGCGCTGGCTTGAGCAGGGGGACCTTGCGTGCGCTGCAGGATTTTAATCCATGACGGCGTAGTGTGTTACTAATGGTTTTCTTTGAGACTGTGGTCCCAGCTCTCTTCAGGTCATTGACCAGGTCCTGCCGTGTAGTTCTGGGCTGATCCCTCACCTTCCTCATGATCATTGATGCCCCACGAGGTGAGATCTTGCATGGAGCTCCAGACCGAGGGTGATTTACCGTCATCTTGAACTTCTTCCATTTTCTAATAATTGCGCCAACAGTTGTTGCCTTCTCACCAAGCTGCTTGCCTATTGTCCTGTAGCCCATCCCAGCCTTGTGCAGGTCTACAATTGTATCCCTGATGTCCTTACACAGCTCTCTGGTCTTGGCCATTGTGGAGAGGTTGGAGTCTGTTTGATTGAGTGTGTGGACAGGTGTTTTTTATACAGGTAACGACTTCAAACAGGTGCAGTTAATACAGGTAATGAGTGGAGAACAGGAGGGCTTCTTAAAGAAAAACTAACAGGTCTGTGAGAGCCGGAATTCTTACTGGTTAGTAGGTGATCAAATACTTATGTCATGCAAATTAATTACTTAAAAATCATACAATGTGATTTTCTGGATTTTTGTTTTAGATTCCGTCTCTCACAGTTGAAGTGTACCTATGATAGAAATTACAGACCTCTACATGCTTTGTAAGTAGGAAAACCTGCAAAATCGGCAGTGTATCAAATAATTGTTCTCCCCTCTGTATATATATTGCTATGGTATTATGGTACCTGACAGTGGAATCCGGAGGTAGGACCCCATTGCAGTTGGTGCTGGTGCAGTTTCCCGCCGCACCTACTCTGAAGTACTTGATGCCAGGCAACTGGCCACAGGGGAAGTCCTTAGGGCGTCCCAATTTGGTGACGAAATACATTCTATTAGTCTGACTGCTGAAGGCCATAGGGTATGGAGAGGCACTGACGATCTGTACTGGTTCCAGCTTGTCAATGTCAAAGTTGTTGACGCCTGATGTGCAAAGGGCCATGAAAAAAGACAAAATGATCACTGGGCTGGACAATCGTACATCTATTTATCTAGTATCGGATTTGATTTTGATTTAGCTGCACTGGAATTGTCGTCTGAGGGATTAATCATTATTAATAATTTTATCAAAGTTAAGATTTGTATTTATTAGGGATCCCCCCCCCCTCAATGTCTTTAAATACTTTGCCACATCCAGTTGAGACCTACCTGGTCCAGAGGCGATGGCAGCCCATACTTGACAGGTGCTTTGACTGCATTTGAGCTGGGTCAGTGTGTTGAAGTAGCACAGAGGCTGGCCCAGCACAATGGTACTGCTGGTTACCCTGCCGCTCGCCTCATAGGGGAGGATCTCAGGAATATAATCCAGAGACACAACTACACAAACAGAACAAAAAAATGATTTACTACTTCTGGATAATTCCTTTTAATGCTGTAGATTTTAAACCAGAGCCACATGAAACCTCACAGTATGGCTCTGTATTAAACCCTTTCTCTCAAAGCTGGGCCACACCACTGTCATAGAAGTAAGATCAGAAACATTTCCAGAGAAGATATCAGTTTGTGAGTAGTTTATCTGATGGCCTCTTTACCCATTACCCTCCCTTGGAAGATGATAAACAGCCCTTAAGAGGAAGGGGTGGCTATCTGCTCATTATCTAGCTAGTGGACTAGATTCTACGTTCTGAGAAACATATTCTTGATTTTGCTGTCTGATCCTGATGCAAAACATTTCTACAGATGTACACCACTCGCTACCAAGACACCAGGGTTTGGATGCTCTCTGTGGGAGAGCATAAGAAACGTGACTCTTGTTCTTCCTCCCAGTCTTGTCATGTCACAGAATTCTTGAATCTGTCTGTAATCTCAGACAATGGACTAACTGTAAGTCACTCTGGATAAGAGCGTCTGCTAAATGACTAAAATGTAAAATGTAAATGGGAGGACAATACAAGCTCAAGTGAATAATTACTGTAGAAAGGCCTCATTATGCTTTCTCAGATTGTCATTACTTTCAGATGGATAATTGAATTCACTACAGTAACTATTAATATCATAACTAGCTGTACTGATCTCTGATGCTGCAGTAAAAGTGCATACAAATGATCTAATTTCTTGTTTTGGATAGTGACAATCACACCCGCATGTTGTGGCTCACTGAGGAGCTAGGTCACGGTGTACACCGACCATGTTTGCACTGCAAAGATCTCTTAAGGATGAACAGTAAAACAAGGGGGCAGTACGCACCATGAGGGGGAGAAAGCACCATGTCCATTTTCCTGAAAAACCAGTCTATCCTATTATCTTATCATCCAAGTGAATGGTTACAAGGGCATGTTTAGAATAAGGACACATTTCTATTCCAACTAAAAACAAGCACTTATTCATGTAGCCATCTTTCACCATGTCTTGCTCTTTTTATGTTGACCAATAGCATAATTTATGGAGTAAAACAGTCCTAAAAACTATTCTATGACCTATTCTACATCAACAGCATATATCAATTTTAGCTTATCAATTGGTATTGATAAGACCAAATCTAATCATTCAATCTGTTAATAAAAAAACTGATTAGGTTTTAAAAACGTTAACCAGTATGGCTACATAAAGTTAAAGTATTTGAAAGTATTCTGTTTTCGATCATCAAACATTTATTTGGGTCTTGTAACATTTTGATCTTTATTAGCGATAGCCTAGGTTCAATAACATATATAATAAAACCAAATTAAGAGCATTCTTTCAACATGATAGCCTGTATGTAAGTGAAGGGTGGTTAGAATACAATAAAGCCTATTAAAAAATGATGACACATTAAAAGATTAACAAACTTTGTCTAAGTTATCAATAAAGCCCTGTGCTCACATCACTACCCTCCCCGAAACATATAGGTTTGGCTGTAACACTTACTTTGTGATCGGACTCCGAACATAAATGCACGGATGAAAAATGTATATAATATAAACGTCCAAGACATCGCAGATATTTGTGTTGATATTGAGACTGTCAAAATGTGCCTCCGATGTTCCTACAATTAGTATTTCGCTAGACAAAATATATTTTCCAGAAAGTTACCGTGTCTTCTCTGTGGTGTGTGCAGGTGAACTGAAACTGTAACGTTAGTAGTCTGTGGGAGTTCACCTTTCCTGGAGAAACGCCAATAAAACGTTCGTCAAGGACACAACTTTAAAAGTATAATTAAATTAGCTAAATTATAACCACAAAATCGTAAGCCTCCAATGATAATATAAGCTCAAATTCCTACAAAATCAATAAAATGCCAGCTTACATACATAAACTCAAGGCCGGACATAGGCATAAGCGACCACTTTGGGTCCCGCCACCAAAAAATAAATACAAAACTTAGTGTTGAGAGTTAGAATAGTAGAATACACAAAGGTGCAATTTCGAAATGTGGTTCTGCATCATAGAGGTCTTCATAGGTCTACCCGAACCCAAATGCCCGAGACCCGTCAGGGTCCAAGTCCAGAATTCTAACTTGTCCCTCTGTCTGGGTCAGGTCCTGTTTGATTGTCATCGGGTCTTGGGTCTATGTAACTACAGCTGATAGACCCGTGTGGACCCTACCATGGCTCTGCATAGCCTATAGCATATTTATTTTTGGCTAATAAGGTGAATGTATTGACTTATAGAAGGCCTAGCCAACATATAAAATACCTATTCCTTAACCAGAAGAGCAACTTGGCTGATTAACATAAATCAGGTCTAGGTCTGGTTGTCCTCGGGTCCATTCGGGTTCCCCTTTTTTGGGGGGGGGGATAGAATCCGTACGTCCGGGTCTGATTGCCCTCGGGTGTGTTTAGGACCAACTTTTTGGACCCAAGAAGACCTCTAGTGCATAAGCGGTTTCTCTCTTGTTATGTCAGTCACTGACAGTCACTCAACTAGCCCATATCAGCTACATTTATTTTAGATTGGTAGGTTAGTCTAGCCAGCTATCTAAACTTGCATACTCTTAGAAAAAAGGGTTCCAAAAGGGTTCTTCAGCTGTCCCCATAGGATAACCCTTTTTGGTTCCATGTAGAACCCTCTGTGGAAAGGTTTTTTACATGGAACCCAAAAAGGTTCAACCTGGAACCAAAAATGGTTCTTCAAAGGGTTCTCCTATGGGGAACAACATTTTGCTTAGGGCCCCAAAAAGGCTAGGAGGCTTATTAATGCTGCAAATTTAAACACACCAGGTGTGTTTACACATTACACAGTAATGATGACAGCATACAGGGGACATGAGATAAATGGGTTGTTATTATTATGTACTCCTCTTTCTATTTTGATTATTGTAAAAATAAATATAATTAATATGAGGTAAAAAAATACATTTTGATTCGCTCAATTGCATATATATTTTATATGCCAAAAATCATTGCCTCCAAATAAATGTAGCCTATAATATGTGACTTTTAGCATTGTATTTTAAACTCCAGTTAAAAAAGTAGACCTCTAAATAGCCATCAAACTAGTTATTAATTTGCATTATACCCCAGCCTTAATATCATAAACATATTGATCATGAATGAAATGTATGTTGGCAATGGACCACTAAGTGCAACATTTTCATCCGCAACATTTTCTTCTTGCAAACCCTCACTACAATTCTGTGGCTGGTTTTGGCAAATCATAGTCAGTGTAGCTCTTGAGCCTAATTTGGGTTAGTGACATTTTGGACACGAGAGGCTATGGTTCCCTGCGGCTCATCCTCATAAGCACGGTTTACATAAGGGGACGGAGTGGCATACATGCGCAATGATCCTGGAACTTGGATGGTCTGTTTCTCCTTCCAACAGCAACTGCTGAGGACATAGAGGGTTTGAGAAATCAATTAATGTCAGGTAGCCTATTAGATACATGCTACATAGCAGACTATGGAAATAGACACTGTCAAATCCAGATATATACCTCAGCAGCTGGACCGTCTCCATCCCTACTCTAAACCATTATGAACCAAAAAGCACAACTCCTGGACCTGTTATGGGCATAATGTGCCAGAACATAGAACTCCCCAACAATTGTCCCCATGTCTATGAAGTTCAACTGGGAAAGGTGGTAGGTTATATAACTCACAGGGCATAGATTACATTTACGTCATTTAGCAGACGCTCTTATCCAGAGCGACTTACAAATTGGTGCATTCAACTTTTTTTTTTTTATGGGGGGGGGGGGGGGGGTAGAAGGATTACTTTTATACTATTCCAGGTATTCCTTAAAGAGGTAGGTCAGCATGATGAGCAACAGCAGCAAGGCCAGGAAGGCACACAGAATAGACGTTAAGACAATCATGGCCACAGACCTTCCCGCAAGAACATAATTAATGCTGTCAGGGTCTTTCACTGGAGGAATTGACAAATGGTATTGTTTTTATGTTAAGCAGAGGTACATGGACATTTCCGATAGACTGTATAGATTCAGAAAATATATGGGAAGCACTTACAAGAGTAAAGAGTGATGTTGTTGGACCAGACTCCGCAACAACCGTCTTGTTCGCTGGGTTGATGAGAACATACTTAAATCTGAAATAGGAGAAGATAGATAGATACACACACATACACACATATATATATATATATATATATATACATACACATATATATATATATATATATATATATATATATATACATACACATATATATATATATATATATATATATATATATATATATATATATATATATATATATATATATATATATATATATATATATATATATACATACATACATACATATACATACATATATATATATATATATATATATATATATATATATATATATATATTCTTGAAGGTCATAATTAAGGTTGGTTGCATTGAATCCACAAAATGGTACTTCAACTTAGATCCAAAGTCAATGCTTTGGGGTGAAGGAGGGGTTCTGACTTGGCAGTGGAACCAACAGGCAATACTCCATTACAGTTAATAGTGGAACAGTTCCCATCAGAGCCAACCCTGAAGTATTCTGTTACGACAGGGTGGTAGGTGTAGTCTTTCTGAAGCCCCAACTTGGCAGGAAACATGCATCAATATATTTTTAAATAGAGACACACACACACCTGTCATCTTGATCAAGTTGCACTTGTTAAATAAATGGTCCAATTTCCCAATACTGGCTAAACCAGTGAGGGGGGTCAGGTTATTGTGCAACATACTGTATGAGACACTATACCTACCAACTGAGCACACACTGGTTGAATCAACATTGTTTCCACGTCATTTCAATGAAATTACGTTGAACCAAGTGGGTAGTAATTGATTCTCCTCTCAAATTGTAGGTGAAGTAGAAAGATTTTCCAAATGAACAAAGTGTGAGTGGGTTTTCCAACCCGGTGCGTCAATCTAAGTAAAATAAAATAAAAATACCAGTCAAAATCCGTCAGTTTAAACTAGAGATAAACGTCTCAATCCACCCCATCCACCTATGGGAGCCTTCTGCATCTGTGGTGGAAGGTGGCCGAGCTACGGAGGTGTTTGTCAGACCATGAGACATTCTGAAAAATCTGTCTTCTCACGAAAACGTCTGTAGCGTCCGAATGGTTTGGCCTACAACTAATAGGTTTCACCCTCACGAACACGATGGTGTTCTCAGTTTTGCTCTACGACCCCCACAAGTTTCACGGGACTCGTCTAAAGGTAACAGGTACCAGTTATTTTTTATTTTTATGAATGGTAGTATGGAGGTACAGTGAATTCGGAAAGTATTCAGACCCCTTGACTTTTTCCACATTATGTTACGTTACAGCCTTATTCTAAAATTGATTAAATAGTTTTTTTCCCCCTCAATCTACACACAATACCCCATAATGACAAAGCAAAAAACAGGTTTTCAGAAATGTTGGCAATTGTATTAAAATAAAAGAACTGAAATATCAAATTTACATAAATATTCAGACCCTTTATTCAATACTTAGTTGAAGCACCATTGGCAGCGATTACAGCCTCGAGTCTTCTTGGGTATGACGCTACAAGCGTGGCACACCTGTATTTGGGGAGTTTCTCCCATTCTTCTCTGCAGATCCTCTCAAGCTCTGTCAGGTTGGATGGGGAGCGTCGCTGCACAGCTATTTTCAGGTCTCTCCAGAGATGTTAGATCGGGTTCAAGTCCGGGATCTGGCTGGGCCACTCCAGGACATTCAGAGACTTGTCCCGAAGCCACTCCTGCATTGTCTTGACTGTGTGCTTAGGGTCATTGTCCTGTTGGAAGGTGAACCTTCCCCCCCAGTCTGAGTCCCTGAGCGCTCTGGAGCAGGTTTTCATCAAGGATCTATCTGTACTTTGCTCCGTTCATCTTTCCCTCAATCCTGACTAGTCTCCCATTCCCTGCCACTGAAAAACATCCCCACAGCATGATGCTGCCACCACCATGCTTCACCGTAGGGATGGTGCCAGGTTTCCTCCAGACGTGACGCTTGGCATTCAGGCCAAAGAGTTCAATCTTGGTTTCATCAGACCAGAGAATCTTGTTTCTCATGGTCTGAGTGTCTTTAAGTGCCTTTTGGCAAACTCCAAGCGGGCTGTCATGTGCCTTTTACTGAGGAGTGGCTTCTGTCTGGCCACTCTACCATAAAAGGCCTGAATGGTGGAGTGCTGCAGAGATGGTTGTCCCATCTCCACAGAGGAACTCTGGAGCTCTGTCAGAGGGACCATCGGGTTCTTTGTCACCTCCCTGACCAAGGTCCTTCTCCCCAATTGCTGTTTGGCCAGGCAGCCAGCTCTAGGAAGAGTCTTGGTGGCACTGGTTCCAAACTTCTTCCATTTAAGAATGATGGAGGCAACTGTGTTCTTGGGGACCTTCAATGCTGCAGAATTTTTTTTGGTACACTTCTTTAAGACTCTGCAAGCTAATATTCTCCTGTCTGCTGGCTGCTCATAGCAGTGGGGCCGTTGCCTTCTGTTGCCTAGCAACCACATAACAAATAATCATGCAGTGGTCATGCTGATAGGGGTGAACAACACCAGGATTTTTGGAGTCAATTCGGACCTCGACTCCCAAAACACGTTGAAACTGCAGCTCACACACCACCTCATTATTGCAGAGTCCTACTAGGAAAACTATTTTCGTGTTCTAGAGGACTGGCATGAGCATGATGCTGCCCATTTGCTTATCAACTTCTAAAATGACTTTTCTTAAAATATAGAAGGTGATGTGTAGGAACTAGAATATTCCTGTTATATTTCTGCTGTGCGCAGCCTTGACAGATCCCATGTGATGATACAGGGATAAGCCTATTGTTTGCTGTGTTATAGGCTATAGCCCTATTTAGACTGAACTAGTATTACTAGAGACGTTCGTAATATAGTTTGTTTCAATGTTTATTCGCCACATGCACAGGCTACAACAGCAGAAACTCAGCACCTCTGACTAATACCAGTGGATAGCCAGCTTGATAGTTTCACGCATTTATTCAGAAAAAAGATTGGTCTTTAATAGTGCAAATGTTTTATGGAAAACACAGTTTTTCAGCAAAAACTCGAGTCATGTACAGTATGCTTTCTCTGGAGTCAACTGAATACACAAAAGGAAGTCCAAATAACATTGCAAAATAGTTCCATGCGACCTAAATACAATACCATAAAAAAAAATTCAAATCCCTACTTTCTTTAATTGTTGTAACTTGTTTTCACTTATCATCCATAACTTACATAACTGAAACAGGTAAATACCTTTAAGATCATATCTTAAAGATCATCCTTGATATTCAGAACTTTAACAATCCACTAAAAACTATTCAGACACTCAACATATTGTGAATATTAGAACTTATACTTTTATGAAAACATCCACTTACTTTGCCCCATCCTAGTCAACAGATAGGCACAACACCACATAGAAGAGTAATGCCATTTCTTCAAACACTTTGGGATGCTGTATGGTGCTGCCTGCTCCTGGGAAAGTGATTGAACTTGGCTGATGTGAACCGTTTTAAAAGTCCTGACCACATTCCTAGATTCCCTACCCATCCCCTTTTAAAAGAGAATGAATCAAACAAACACAGGTTGGTTTGTATGGGTGTGTGTGGTTATTCCTGATAGAAACTGTTTGTGGTGTTTTGTAGGCCTAGACATGCCCATTCTTTTGTCACATTTTGTTTGATTTGCTTAATACACCAAAACCTCATGGCATAGCCCATGTTGACTTATTTCATGCAGGTGAATATTCTTTGACATATTCTGGGCAGGTATGCATTACCAGTTACCCAATTGTTACTTCATTTTTCCAGAGATGAGGTTTTTCACATTGTAAACAAACAGGTGTAGGAAATAATCATATTATGTCCTCCAATTGGCACCTTCATCCCCCCCCTCCTCTCCCCTGTAACTATTCTCTGGGTCATTGATGTAAATGAGAATGTGTTCTCAATCAACTTACCTGGTAAAATAAGGTTTAAATGTCGAAGCTTGAGAAGCTGAAAATATACGAGCAGAACTATTAATACACTGCTCAAAAAAATAAAGGGAACACTTAAACAACACAATGTAACTCCAAGTCAATCACACTTCTGTGAAATCAAACTGTCCACTTAGGAAGCAACACTGATTGACAATAAATTTCACATGCTGTTGTGCAAATGGAATAGACAACAGGTGGAAATTATAGGCAATTAGCAAGACACCCCCAATAAAGGAATGGTTCTGCAGGTGGTGACCACAGACCACTTCTCAGTTCCTATGCTTCCTGGCTGATGTTTTGGTCACTTTTGAATGCTGGCGGTGCTTTCCCTCTAGTGGTAGCATGAGTCTACAACCCACACAAGTGGCTCAGGTAGTGCAGCTCATCCAGGATGTCAAATCAATGCGAGCTGTGGCAAGAAGGTTTGCTGTGTCTGTCAGCGTAGTGTCCAGAGCATGGAGGCGCTACCAGGAGACAGGCCAGTACATCAGGAGACGTGGAGGAGGCCGTAGGAGGGCAACAACCCAGCAGCAGGACCGCTACCTCCGCCTTTGTGCAAGGAGGAGCAGGCAGAGCACTGCCAGAGCCCTGCAAAATGACCTCCAGCAGGCCACAAATGTGCATGTGTCTGCTCAAACGGTCAGAAACAGACTCCATGAGGGTGGTATGAGGGTCCGACGTCCACAGGTGGGGGTTGTGCTTACAGCCCAACACCGTGCAGGACGTTTGGCATTTGCCAGAGAACACCAAGATTGGCAAATTCGCCACTGGCGCCCTGTGCTCTTCACGGATGAAAGCAGGTTCACACTGAGCACGTGACAGACGTGACAGAGTCTGGAGATGCAGTGGAGAACGTTCTGCTGCCTGCAACATCCTCCAGCATGACCGGTTTGGCGGTGGGTCAGTCATGGTGTGGGGTGGCATTTCTTTGGGGGGCCGCACAGCCCTCCATGTGCTCGCCAGAGGTAGCCTGACTGCCATTAGGTACCGAGATGAGATCCTCAGACCCCTTGTGAGTCCATATGCTGGTGCGGTTGGCCCTGGGTTCCTCCTAATGCAAGACATTTACATTTTAGTCATTTAGCAGACGCTCTTATCCAGAGCGACTTACAGGAGCAATTAGGGTTAAGTGCCTTGCTCAAGGGCACATTTACGTCATTTAGCAGATGCTCTTATCCAGAGCGACTACAAATTGGTGCATTCACCCTATAGCCAGTGGGATAACCACTTTACAATTATACTATTTTTTATTTTATTAAAAACAATTTTTTGGGGGGGGGGGGGGGGGGGGGGGGGAGGAGGATTACTTTATCCTATCCCAGGTGTTCCTTAAAGAGGTGGGGTTTCAAATGTCTCCGGAAGGTGGTGAGTGACTCCGCTGTCCTGGCGTCGTGAGGGAGCTTGTTCCACCATTGGGGTGCCAGAGCAGCGAACAGCTTTGACTGGGCTGAGCGGGAACTATGCTTCCGCAGAGGAAGGGGAGCCAGCAGGCCAGAGGTGGATGAACGCAATGCCCTCGCCTGGGTGTAGGGACTGATCAGAGCCTGAAGGTACGGAGGTGCCGTTCCCCTCACTGCTCCATAGGCAAGCACCATGGTCTTGTAACGGATGCGAGCTTCAACTGGAAGCCAGTGGAGTGTGCGGAGGAGGGGGGTGACGTGAGAGAACTTGGGAAGGTTGAACACCAGACGGGCTGCGGCATTCTGGATGAGTTGTAGGGGTTTAATGGCACAGGCAGGGAGCCCAGCCAACAGCGAGTTGCAGTAATCCAGACGGGAGATGACAAGTGCCTGGATTAGGACCTGTGCCGCTTCCTGTGTAAGGCAGGGTCGTACTCTCCGAATGTTGTAGAGCATGAACCTGCAGGATCGGGTCACCGCCTTGATGTTAGCGGAGAACGACAGGGTGTTGTCCAGGGTCACGCCAAGGCTCTTCGCACTCTGGGAGGAGGACACAACGGAGTTGTCAACCGTGATGGCGAGATCATGGAACGGGCAGTCCTTCCCCGGGAGGAAGAGCAGCTCCGTCTTGCCAGGGTTCAGCTTGAGGTGGTGATCCGTCATCCATACTGATATGTCGGCCAGACATGCAGAGATGCGATTCGCCACCTGGTTATCAGAAGGGGGAAAGGAGAAGATTAGTTGTGTATCGTCAGCGTAGCAATGATAGGAGAGGCCATGTGAGGATATGACAGAGCCAAGTGACTTGGTGTATAGGGAGAAAAGGAGAGGGCCTAGAACTGAGCCCTGGGGGACACCAGTGGTGAGAGCACGTGGTGCGGAGACGGCTTCTCGCCACGCCACTTGGTAGGAGCGACCGGTCAGGTAGGACGCAATCCAGGAGTGAGCCGCGCCGGAGATGCCCAGCTCTGATGGTTCACTGTATCAAAGGCAGCAGACAGGTCTAGAAGGACAAGAGCAGAGGAGAGAGAGTTAGCTTTAGCAGTGCGGAGAGCCTCCGTGACACAGAGAAGAGCAGTCTCAGTTGAATGACCAGTCCTGAAACCTGACTGGTTTGGATCAAGAAGGTCATTCTGAGAGAGATAGCAAGAGAGTTGGCTAAAGACGGCACGCTCAATAGTTTTGGAAAGAAAAGAAAGAAGGGATACTGGTCTGTAGTTGTTGACATCAGTGGGATCGAGTGTTGGTTTTTTGAGAAGGGGTGCAACTCTCGCTCTCTTGAAGACGGAAGGGACATGGCCAGCGGTCAAGGATGAGTTGATCAGCGAGGTGAGGTAGGGGAGAAGGTCACCGGAGATGGTCTGGAGAAGAGAGGAGGGGATGGGGTCAAGCGGGCAGGTTGTTGGGCGGCCTGCAGTCACTAGTCGCAAGATTTTATCTGGAGAGAGAGGGGAGAAAGAAGTCAAAGCATAGGGTAGGGCAGTGTGAGCAGGACCAGCAGTGTCATTAGACTTAACAAACGAGGATCGGATGTCGTCAGCCTTCTTTTCAAAGTGGTTGACAAAGTCATCCACAGAGAGGGAGGAGGGGGGGGGGGGGGGGAGGATTCAGCAGTGAGGAGAATGTGGCAAAGAGCTTCCTAGGGTTAGAGGCAGATGCTTGGAATTTAGAGTGGTAGAAAGTGGCCTTAGCAGCAGAAACAGATGAAGAAAATGTAGAGAGGAGGGAGTGAAAAGATGCCAGGTCGGCAGGGAGTTTAGTTTTCTTCCATTTCCGCTCAGCTGCCCGGAGCTCTGTTCTGTGAGCTCGCAATGAGTCATCAAGCCACAGAGCTGGAGGGGAGGACCGAGCCGGCCGGGAGGATAGGGGACACAGGGAGTCAAAGGATGCAGAAAGGGAGGAGAGGAGGGTTGAGGAGGCAGAATCAGGAGATTGGAGGGAGAAGGATTGAGCAGAGGGAAGAGATGATAGGATGGAAGAGGAGAGAGTAGTGGGAGAGAGAGAGCGAAGGTTGCGGCGGCGCGTTACCATCTGTGTAGGGGCAGAGTGAGTAGTGTTGGAGGAGAGCGAGAGAGAAAAGGATACAAAGTAGTGGTCGGAGACATGGAGGGGAGTTGCAGTGAGATTAGTAGAAGAGCAACATCTAGTAAAGATGAAGTCAAGCGTATTGCCTGCCTTGTGAGTGGGTGGGGATGGTGAGAGGGTGAGGTCAAAAGAGGAGAGGAGTGGAAAGAAGGAGGCAGAGAGAAATTAGTAAAATGTAGACGTGGGGAGGTTGAAATCCCCCAAAACTGTGAAGGGTGAGCCATCCTCAGGAAAGGAACTTATCAAGGCGTCAAGCTAGACCTCATGTGGCTGGAGTGTGTCAGCAGTTCCTGCAAGAGGAAGACATTGATGCTATGGACTGGCCCGCCCGTTCCCCAGACCTGAATCCAATTGAGCACATCTGGGACATCATGTCTCGCTCCATCCACCAACGCCACATTGCACCACAGACTGTCCAGGAGTTGGCGGATGCTTTAGTCCAGGTCTGGGAGGAGATCCCTCAGGAGACCATCCGCCACCTCATCAGGAGCATGCCCAGGCGTTGTAGGGAGGTCATACAGGCACGTGGAGGCCACACACGCTACTGAGCCTCATTTTGACTTGTTTTAAGGACATTACATCAAAGTTGGATCAGCCTGTAGTGTGGTTTTCCACTTTAATTTTGAGGGTGACTCCAAATCCAGACCTCCATGGGTTGATAAATTTGATTTCCATTGATAATTTTTGTGTGATTTTGTTGTCAGCACATTCAACTATGTAAAGAAAAAAGTATTTAATAAGATTATTTCATTCATTCAGATCTAGGATGTGTTATTTTAGTGTTCCCTTTATTTTTTTGAGCAGTGTAGCTAGTCTTTGTGTTTTACTACAAACATACAATACATTAACCAAAAGTATGTGGACACCTGCTCGTCGAACATCTCATTCCAAAATCATGGGCATTAATATGGAGTTGGTTTCCCATTTGCTGCTATAACAGCATCCACTCTTCTGGGAAGGCTTTCCAATAGATGTTGGAACATTGCTGCGGGGACTTGCTTCCATTCAGCCACAAGATCATTAGTGAGGTCAGGAACTAAATGTTGGGCGATTAGGCCTGGCTCGCAGTCAGCGTTCCAATTAATCCCAAAGGTGTTCGATGGGGTTGAGGTCAGGGCTGTGTGCAGGCCAGTCAAGTTCTTCCACACCAATTGACAAACCATTTCTGTATGGACCTCGCTTTGTGCATGGGGGCATTGTCATGCTGAAACAGGAAAGGGCCTTCCCCAAACTGTTGCCACAAAGTTGGAAGCACAGAATCGTCTAGAATGTAATTTTGTATGCTGTAGCGTTAAGATTTCCCTTCACTGGAACTAAGGGGCCTAGCCCGAACCATGAAAAACAGCCCCAGACCATTATTCTTCCTCCACCAAACTTTACAGTTGGCACTACGCATTGGGACAGGTAGCGTTCTCCTGGCATCCGCCAAACCCAGATTAGTCCGTTGGACTGCCAGATGGTGAAGTGCGATTCATCACTCCAGAGAACGCGTTTCCACTGCTCCAGAGTCCAATGGCAGCGAGCTTGACACCACTCCAGCCAACGTTAGGCATTGCGCATTGTATCTTAGGCTTGTGTGTGGCTGCTCGGCCATGGAAACCCATTTCATGAAGCTCCCGATTAACAGTTCTTGTGCTGACGTTGCTTCCAGAGACAGTTTGGAACTCAGTAGTGAGTGTTGCAACAGAGGTCAGACAGTTTTGACGCGCTTCAGCACTCGGCGGTCCCGTTCTGTGAGCTTGTGTGGCCTACCACTTCGCGGCTGAGCTGTTGTTGCTCCTAGACGTTTCCACTTCACAATAACAGCACTTACAGTTGACCGGGGCAGCTCTAGCAGGGCAGAAATTTAACAAACTGACTTGTTGGAAAGGTGGCATCCTATGACCGTGTCACGTTGAAAGTCACTGAGCTCTACTGTAAGGCCATTCTACTGCCAATGTTTGTCTATGAAGATTGCATGGCTGTGTGCTCGATTTTATACACCTGTCAGCAACGGGTGTGGCTGAAATAGCCGAATCCACTAATTTGAAGGGTTGTCCACATACTTTTGTATATATAGTGTATGCTCACAACTTTCACACAAAGTTATCCTATGTACAGTACCAGTCAAAAGTTTGGACACCTACTCATTCAAGGGTTTTTCTTAATTTTTTACTATTTTCTACATTGTAGAATAGTAGTGAAGACATCAAAACTATGAAATAACACATATGGAATCATGTGTTAAACAAATCAAAATATATTTTATATTCTGGATTCTTCAAAGTAGCCACCCTTTGCCTTGACAGCTTTGCACACTCTTGGCATTCTCTCAACCAGCTTCACCTGGAATGCTTTTCCAACAGTCTTGAAGGAGTTCCCACATATGCTGAGCACTTGTTGGCTGCTTTTCCTTCACTCTGCCATCCGACTCACCCAATCCATCTCAATTGGGTTGAGGTCGGGGGATTGTGGAAGCCAGGTCATCTGATGCAGCACTCCATCACTCTCCTTCTTGGTCAAATAGCCCTTACACAGCCTGGAGGTGTGTTGGGTCATTGTCCTTTTGAAAAACAAAATGATAGCACTAAGCACAAACCAGATGGGATGGCGTATCGCTGCAGAATGCTGTGGTAGCCATGCTGGTTAAGTGTGCCTTGAATTCTAAATAAATCACAGACAGTGTCACCAGCAAAGCACCCCCACACATCCTCCTCCATGCTTCATGGTGGGAACCACACATGCGGAGATCATCCGTTCATCTACTCTGTGTCTCACAAAGATACAGCGGTTGGAACCAAAAATCTCAAATTTGGACTCATCAGACCAAAGGACAGATTTCCACCGGTCTAATGTCCATTGCTCGGGTTTCTTGGCCCAAGCAAGTCTCTTCTTCTCATTGGTGTCCTTTAGTAGTGGTTTCTTTGCAGCAATTCGACCATGAAGGCCTGATTCACGCAGTCTCCTCTGAACAGTTGATGTTGAGATGCGTCTGTGAAGCATTTATCTGGGCTGCAATCTGAGGTGCAGTTAACTCTAATGAACTTATCCTCTGCAGCAGAGGTAACTCTGGGTCTTCCTTTCCTGTGGCGGTCCTCATGAGAGCCAGTTTCATCATAGCGCTGGATGGTTTTTGAAACTGCACTTGAAGAAACTTTCAAAGTTCTTAACATTTACCAGATTGACTGACCTTCATATCTTAAAGTAATGATGGACTGTCGTTTTTCTTTACTTATTTGAGCTGTTCTTGACATAACATGGACTTGGTCTTTTACCAAATAGGGCTATCTTCTGTATACCAACCCACCTTGTCACAACATAACTGATTGGCTCAAACGCATTAAGGAAAGAAATTCCACAAATTAACAAGGCACACCTGTTAATTGAAATGCATTCCCCATGAAGCTGGTTGAGAGAATGCCAAGTGTGTGCAATGCTGTCATCAAGGCAAAGGGTGGCTACTTTGAAGTATCTCAAATATATTTTGATTTGTTTAACACTTTTTTGGTTACTACATGATTCCATGTGTTATTTCATAGTTTATGTCTTCACTATTATTCTACAATGTAGAAAATAGTAAAAAATAAAATAAAAAACCCTGGAATGAGCAGGTGTCCAAACTTTTGACTGGTACTGTATGTCAAATATAACACTTGCTGTAGGACTTGATACAGAGATTGTTTTTCAAAATGAGACAAAACCTGATTCATCATCTGTGTAAAACTGTAGTGATAGGAGGTCACTGTTTTTAAAAGAAAGGACATGTTAGGTCTTCTCTATTGTAAAGCAAAGTGTATTTTCCCCAATGGACATGCTGTAGTAGTTGTTACTAAGGTGGTGTGCGTTGTAGTTTGCGATCCCATGGCTGAGTGCAGTTGAAGTTGATATCTCTATCTGGTCTTTGGATCAGCCATAACTGCAAACACACAACCCCAAGAGACATTAAATTGGTAAAGGATATGTAATAAATGGTCTATATAACCTGGTATTACTTAGAAATGACCTGATAATTTCATAATTTTGTTGCCTTTGCATTTATTGAAATTAAAATAGCTAACTACTATTTGATTCCAGGTTAAAAGTACCCATTGTTAGGTTCACTGCCCTGTGTGCCTCACCCGTCCAGCAGCAGCACAGCTCCCAGCAGTAGTAGCAGGACAGCCAGCAGACAGGAAGAGATGACTGTGATGACCACCATTCCACCAGAGCGCTTCCCTATAAACTCATCTATGGAGGACCAGGACTTCACTGCACAGACAGAGAAACACACATAGACATGATCAAAATACAAAAACGTACGGTAATTTTGCAAATTTCTTTTACAATGTCTAAAAAATGTGAGCACATAGGTGTTATAAGAGTTACAGGTTGGGCACCAGCTAGTTTCAGAACGTATTGTTTTGCTGCTTGAGTCCACCAGTACGTATTTTACTCTAGAAGAAAGGGGAGATACACAAGAATAAGGATGGTCACAGGTTATAACAGGACCGTGTCAATAATGCCACTTATTTCAACCTGTATGTAAACCAAATCATCTCTGCTGAATGGCAAAGCCTACAGACATAAGCATCTGGTAAGAACAAGTAAGATGCAGTTCGGTAGGAGAAAACACATAAGTAAATTATTACCTGACAGTGGAGCCTATTGGTAGGACCCTATAGCAGTTGGTCTCCTCACAGACCACTTGGGCCCCCACTCTGAAGTAGGAGGCTCCAGAGGACATACCCCCACAAGGCAAACTGCTCTGAGCCCCAACCTTTGTCAGGAAGTAGTTTGGGGATACTTGAGTCCGGAAGGCATCTGAATAAGGTGACTTGATCAAAATGTCACTGCTTGTTTTCTCGCTCTCAAACCTCAATGCCTGTTGGTGAGATTGTCAATAACTATTATATAATAGTGACATCAGAGGAGCTTGCCATTCACACATCTAAAAATATAAATAATCACTTTGATCATGGGGAACAGAATCTCTTTCCCCTGACATTTCTATTCACCATTATAAGACATCCATGGACTCACTAGTATTCTTGGCAACCACCAACCATATCTCACATTGGTTTGTAGCGCAAGCAAGGCAGCTCAGGCTGTCGAAGTAGCATAGTGGTAGTTCCGGCATCATTGTTGTACTGGTCAATCTATCTTTGGCTTTTGTGATACGATCAGTGGATGTCAGTCATTTGCTCATGCAGTTATGACAAAGCACCATTGAAAATGTGTAATACATTACAAAACATGTTACAAAAACACAAATAATGGTATATAATCTCAATTATATCTACTCAAATGTCTGATTCCAAATTAAATACAAAAAGGTACAGTGTACAGTAATCTTTAACACCGTATGTCATGGAAGAAGGGGAGCCAATTAAGCAGATGATCAAACTTACCCTCTGCTTTGATGACACTCATCCAGACACACATAATGAGTCCTATGGCTATTTCCCCAGAGGCCACGGTTTACTACAACTTTTAAATGGTCATCTCCCATTATTCAATAGGCTTCCTTTGTAAGGTGTACTAGCCAAGGATGAAAATGCCTGGGATACCATTACTGCTGATTAGAAAACTTCAGACCCTTGACAATAGCCACCGAACCTGTCTGGCAGGTGTGAAAACTGAGTAACTGTGGGTGGGAGTCCTTGGCAACCAACAATACACATATTTGAGAAAGGAAAATAACAAAGCATTACACCAATCTTGTTGTACAATGGAACCGCCGGTAGCCGATTTGCAAGTCAAGGTCAAAAGGTATGCCATACCAGCAAACTAGTTAAAAACTCATTCCATTAAAGACTACAAACAAAATGTGTTGATATGAGACCGTAAACAAGACATACGATAGCATCATAGATATAGGCAGGTCTTGTTTACATAGTCATCTGCAATGCCATCCAAATTCATTTCACATGGAGGGTGGAATGAGTGGAGAGCGACCCCTATAGGAGTATTATGTCCTGCTCAGCATTGTGGAAATAGCTTGAAAGTGCTACCTAAAGTAATTGTATAGCTAGTGAAATTGGGTTATCATTTAGTGATACATTCCAGAAGATTCTATAGGGGGAAAAATACAGCAAATATAGGCCCAATTCTACCCAGATGTTTATGAAAAATATATACACAAGCATAGTATAAAATAAAATGTGAGAAATAATGCTACCACACAACAGGAAACTGTTTCAAAGTAGAGACATGCATGAAATTAACACCTTGATCATCATATTCATCAGGGAACACAGTAGCAAAAGCTTTTTGCTACGGAAAACGAAAATGAGCACGTCTTATTTCAAGTTCAGGTAGTCCCTCCCTGTTTCAGCCCGTTTTTTTCCATTTGGTTACAACCCAGCTTTGTCAACCTCAATTCACAGAATCTAACTACAACCACAAGTTGGGAAGAATATCAGTTACCCAACAGAGGCTCATCTCCCTTAGTTCTCTCTCAGACAATGTCTGAATCCATGACATTGATCAAAGCTGGGCTGTGTTGCTCGGCTGTGTTGACTGTACAGGTATTAGATGTTGGCCCCCCGTTCAATTTCTTCTTGGAACATGTCTCATGACCAGGTGCCATGCATTCACCTCTTCCCCATGACGAAGCTGGGCGCCTCCGCATCATCCTCAGCCTCTCTCTCCTGGTCGTCCTCTTCACTGCTGGAGGAGGACTTCTCAGAATCTAAACAGAGGGGACACCAAAAATAATCAAAATCAGCCTCTTCTGACATAATTTATTACCCTTAACATTTTCCACTAAGAAACCGATCTGTTTCCCAAAACCATCATTAATAACGTTGCGCTTGTAATCTAACGAATGCATCAAACCACTCGTAGAACTGCTAAGTGCGTCGTTAGATTATATTTTGCATTCCCAAGTCAATTTACAACATACGAGGTGAAAGTGGGCTCTAGATGAATATAACTCCTTTTAGCATGGAGATTGCAATTGACGGCTTCCACCATTTAAAAGTAGTCAACAGGGTGGGGATTTCTATGGGTTGGGAGCGATCAGGCAATGATCAGTGCTAGGGCTGGCACGCTAATTGCATAATCGTGTAACCGATGTTAATGAAAAAAAAAAAACGCCATAACCGTCTTCAAAATATATTTTCTAAAATGAATGTATTATCAACTTCATTCAAGTAGTAGATATACTTTCCCAATAGCAGTAGTGTAAATTTATAATTGTTAACAATTGTTTTGCTACCTGAATCCATTTATATCAAACTGTCTCCATCTCCTCCCAACGCACACACTCTCCTTCAAAATGCGCTCCCTTTGATGCTGTAACATTATCTGTACTACAGTGCTGGTTTGTAAATATGGTAGAATATGCTAACATACACCCTTAAATCACCACTATGCTGAAATTAGCTATCAAATATCATTCTTGGTGAGTGTGGACATTTATAAGCTAAAGTCAATCATCAATGACGTTATAAAAACCGATGTTGAGATCCATGCTAGGCTAGCGAACGTCAAGTATGTATGCAACATGTAGTCGTGGAGAGTAGACCCCAAAATAAATAATAATAATACAATTTGCCTAAGCAACTAGGCTGACGTAGGCTACTGATTAGCCTTGAATATTTAGGTTAGTAGATATTGTCAGACGGCTCCATATGCATTCATAATCAATCGCCCAGTTAATGTCGTTCACCACTACCTGATTCCTCGACTACTTGCCCTTTGACTCCTGGTATCGAATCCAATTTCTGGGTGTCAAGCTTCGATTTCACTAGGAATCGAGTCCTTAGAGTCAGTATTTTTGCAACGGAGGAGACAGAATAGTTGCCGTAGGCTACTTCAGACAACAGAAACTCTTGCATCTTTCACATCAAAGAAAGAGCGAGCTAGCGAGGGAGAGAGAGGGGAGGGGCACTGCCAGGCATAGTCAGGTCGGTCACCAGGCAAATCAGATCATGTCTCTATACTCTTCTTTCCTGTTTACAAACAGAAGCTCAAACAGGAAGAACCCGTGATGCGCTCCGTTGAGAAATAGTACGCCGAATCGGAGGCTGTTGCAAGACTGCTTTGCTAGCGCTGACTGGAATATGTTTTGGGACTCCGCCGATAGATTCGACGAGGTAACCACCTCAGAAATGCATCGCCGACGTTGTCCCCACAGTGAAGGGTCGCTGCTTCCCCAATCAAAAGCCCTGGATTAACACTGAGGTACGCGCTAAACTAAAGGACAGAGCTACCACACACAGGGCTATCACAGCCAACCCCAAGGCTACAGCTGAGGACAGGAACGCGTCCAAGAAGTCCCGCTATGACCTCCGCAGAGCCATCAAACAGGGAAAAGGATAATATAGGAACAAGATGGAATCCTATTGCACTGGCTCCGACGCATGTGGCAGGGGCTACAGTCCATTACAGATTACAAAAGGTAGACCTAGCTGTGATCTAGCCAACGATGCCGCTCTACCAGACGAACTCAATGCATTTTATGCACGCTTCGACAAAAACAACATCGAGCTGTGCACGAGGGCCCCCGCCGTCCCAGAGGACTGGGTGATCTCGCTCTCCAAGGCAGACTTGAGTAAGGTTTTTAATTTGGTCAACATTCGCAAGGCCACAGAGTCAGACGGTATCCCAGGGCGTGTTCTCAGAGCATGTGCAGACCAGCTGGCAGGCATCTTCACAGTCATTTTCAATCTCTCCTTGTCCCAGTCTGTAATCAACCTGGGAAAGGGGATACCTAGTCAGTTGCACAACAATGCATTCAACCGAAATGTGTCTTCCGCATTTAACCCAACCCCTCTGAGTCAGAGAGGTGTGAGGGGCTGCCTTAAAATCTGGGTTTGCTTTTGAACACAATTGCTGCGCTCCTCTGGAGAGGAGACTTGACTTCTATACTGCAGTCTGAAAGGCACCCGAGAAGAGTTGTTGTTGGGAGTTAACTGCCTTGCTCAAGGGCAGAACAACATTATTTACACCTTGCCGGCTTGGGTATTCGAACCTTTCAGTTACTGGCCCAACACTTAACAGCTATGCTACCTGCCGCCCCTGATACACTGTTATAATATTGTGTTTTTGTGTTTCTGTTTTAGTCCTTTCTTATTGAGTGTCTATGTGACTGTGCCTTTCAGACTGCTGTATAGAAGTCAAGTCTCCTCTCCAGAGGAGCGCAGCAATTGTGTTCAAAAGCAAACCCAGATTTAGAAAGCTAAAGGACTGTTTCTATAGACCAAACACTGACTTCCTTAATCGCTACTTGTTTCAACCTGGCCATCATTCCTGTTCCCAAGAACTCCAAGGCTACCCGTCACAATGACTACCGCCCTGTAGCACTAACATCGTAATCATGGAGTGCTTTGAGAGGCTGGTCATGGCACACATCACCGCCATCATCCCAGACCCACTCCAATTTGCGAAACACTCCAGCCACCCAAGACATGGACTGTTCTCCATGCTCCGATCCGGCAGGCGGTACCGGTGCATCAAGGCTCAGAAAAACACTCTCCTAAACAGCTTCTATCCCCTGGCCTTACATGGCTAACAATTAGTGCTTTCTCTCTCCCACAGACTTTGCACACTCTTGGCATTCTCTCAATCAGCTTCATCAGGTAGTATTTATATATTCCTACTACCAGTCACTTTTTATGTATAAACCAACCTAAACCCTTCTCCAGTACACCTATACATTGAATAAGGTACTGGTATTGACCTGTTTACATTTGCATTCTCGTGTTTCTTTAACTCATCGTAGTTTGTGTGGTTTTTATTCTTACTTTTCATTATATTTTCTATTACCCTATATTATAATTATCACTACATTGTTGGGAAAGAGCTCTCGAGGTAAGAATTTCACTGTACTGTTTTACACCTGTTGTATCCTGTGCATGTGGCGAATAAACATTGAAACAAACTAATATTACGAACGTCTCTAGTAATACTAGTTCAGTCTAAATAGGGCTATAGCCTATAACACAGCAAACAATAGGCTTATCCCTGTATCATCACATGGGATCTGTCAAGGCTGCGCACAGCAGAAATATAACTGGAATATTCTAGTTCCTACACAACACCTTGTATATTCCATTACCGTCACAGCACAGCCCTAATCAGAGTATTCTTAAAATTGGGTTGCCTATGGTTCAAGCTATATCACCGCCATCTAGTGGACACAATACATGAATGACACGAGAGTTGGTTCAGGAGTTCTGCAGGTGGCAGTAAATCACCAACATTACATGTACACTTTTTCAAACGAATTGTTCAACGAATTGTGTAAAGGCTAGGAATGGGCAGATTTCTCCATTCCCTTCTCCGGCCGTTGTATTGGGCAGTTCAATGGTGAGAAATGTCTCAGTCCCTGGAGCAAAAACTTTGTGCTATCCAGGAGCAAGAGTACAGGCCATCAATAAGCTGATCCCAAACACTTTAAACCAGCATCAGGAAATTGCGTCTATCATAGTTCATGTGGGATTCAATGACATTATGAAGGGCAGTTCAGAACAGCTGAAGATGGGTTTAAAGAACTGATTTGGTCACTGCTTGACACGAACAAACAACCCATAATATCTGGCCCTCCGCCCTCCCTAAATCGTGGCATTGAACGTTTCAGCAGACTTTTAGCCCTCCATAATTGGCTACAAGACTATTGCAGCTCTGTGGGTGTAACATTTATTAACAATTTTGATACCTTCTGGAAACAAAGCTCATTTTATAAAGAGGATGGGATCCACCCAAATCATTTGGGTTCCTGGTTCCTTTCACAGCATTATAAGGCTAAGTTGAGACAATGACTTATCAATGACCCAAGCCCAGCTAAGTTAATCTCTACCATAGTGTTGCTGAGTTGTCATAACGCTTCAGCAAATGTACATTATCCCAGGGACGTTGGAAGGCACAATGTAAGTAACCTAATTTATGTCCCTCTTACTGCCCTGAAAGCTTCTGCTGATCCCACAGCTATTGTATGCAGTAGTCATGTGCCTATGAACCAGAGTTATACTGTTAGCACTGAGGTAGTGTGCCCTAGTAGGAAGTCCACTGTGTGCAGCTCACCCTGAACATAAATAACATGAGCATGTCTACTTCTGCTAAGCTTCCCAGTAAAGCAATGAAAACAATCAAGCATCCCAGAAAAGTGCTAAAAATAGCCAACGTTAACATATGTAGCTTAAAAAACAAGGTTCATGAAATAAATACATGATTTGTTAGTAACAGATGACATTCATATTCTGACAATCTCTGAAACTCACTTAGATAATACCTATGATGATACAGTGGTAGCAATACATGGTTATATATCTACAGAAAAGCCAAAGGTGGAGGTGTTACCGTTTATATACAGAACCACATTCCTGTAAAGCTTAGCGAGGATGTCATGTTAAACACTGTTGAAGTAATATGGCTACAGGTTCATCTGCCTCACCTAAAGCCCATTCTGGTGGGAAGCTGCTATAGACCAAGTGCTAACAGTCAGTATCTGGATAACATATGTGAAATGCTTGATAATGTATGTGATATCAACAGAGAGGTATATTTTCTGGGTGATTAAAATATTGACTGGCTTTCATCAGGCTGCCCACTCAAGAGAATGCTTCAAACTGTAACTAGTGCCTGCAACCTGGTTCAGGTTATCAGACAACCTACCAGGGTAGTTACAAACAGCACAGGAATTAAATCATCAACATGTATTGTTCACATCTTTACTAATGCTACAGAAATGTGCTTTAAAGCAGTATCCAAATCCATTGGATGTAGTGATCACAATATAGTTGCCATATCTTGGAAAACCAAAGTTCCAAAGGCTGGGCCTAATATAGTGTATAAGAGGTCATATAATACGTTTTGTAGTGATTCCTATGTTGTTGATGTAAAGAATATATGTTGGCCTGTGGTGTATAATGAGGAGCAACCAGACAGTGCACTTGAAACATTTATGAAATTGCTTATCCCAGTTACTAATAAGCATGCAACCATTAAGAAAAAGACTAAAAACAGTTAAATCCCCATGGATAGCTGAAGGTTGAGCAGGATGAGGCCTCCTGTAGCTCAGTTGGTAGAGCATGGCGCTTGCAACCCAAGGGTTGTCGGTTCGATTCCCACGGGGGGCCAGTGTGAAAAATGTATGCACTCACTAACTGTAAATCGCTCTGGATAAGAGCGTCTGCTAAATGACTAAAATGTAAATTAGGCAAAAGGAATGGCAAATAAGTCTGGCTGCACAACCGATTGGCAAACGTACTGCAAATTGAGAAATCATGTGACTAAACTCAATAAAAATAAGAAGAAACTATACTATGAAACAAAGACAAATGACAAAAAAATTATAGTAAATAGCTTTGAAGCACCTTAAATGACATTTTGGGCAAAAAGGCAAACACAGCGCCATCATTCATTGAATTACATTGCTCATTCCTCACATTTTGCCAACTACTTGGCAAGATTAGCAAATTTAGGCATGACATGCAAGCAACAAACGCTGACACTACACATCCAAGTATATCTGACCAAATTATGAAAGACAAGCATTGTAATTTTGAATTCTGTAAAGTGAGTGTGGAAGTGAAGACATTATTGTTGTCTATCAACAATGACAAGCCACCAGGGTCTGACAACTTGGATGGAAAATTACTGAGGAATACTGACTGTCCAAACACCAATTGGATTCAGGTCTGGGGAACGGGCGGGCCAGTCCATAGCATCAATGCCTTCCTCTTGCAGGAACTGCTGACACACTCCAGCCACATGAGGTCTAGCATTGTCTTGCATTAGGAGGAACCCAGGGCCAACCGCAACAGCATATGGTCTCACAAGGGGTCTGAGGATCTCATCTCGGTACCTAATGGCAGTCAGGCTACCTCTGGCGAGCACATGGAGGGCTGTGCGGCCCCCCAAAGAAATGCCACCCCACACCATGACTGACCCACTGCCAAACCGGTGATGCTGGAGGATGTTGCAGGCAGCAGAACGTTCTCCACGGCGTCTCCAGACTCTGTCACATGTGCTCAGTGTGAACCTGCTTTCATCTGTGAAGAGCACAGGGCGCCAGTGGCAAATTTGCCAATCTTGGTGTTCTCTGGCAAATGCCAAACGTCCTGCACGGTGTTGGGCTGTAAGCACAACCCCCACCTGTGGACGTCGGGCCCTCATACCACCCTCATGGAGTCTGTTTCTGACCGTTTGAGCAGACACATGCACATTTGTGGCCTGCTGGAGGTCATTTTGCAGGGCTCTGGCAGTGCTCCTCCTGCTCCTCCTTGCACAAAGGCGGAGGTAGCGGTCCTGCTGCTGGGTTGTTGCCCTCCTACGGCCTCCTCCACGTCTCCTGATGTACTGGCCTGTCTCCTGGTAGTGCCTCCATGCTCTGGACACTACGCTGACAGACACAGCAAACCTTCTTGCCACAGCTCGCATTGATGTGCCATCCTGGATGAGCTGCACTACCTGAGCCACTTGTGTGGGTTGTAGACTCCGTCTCATGCTACCACTAGAGTGAAAGCACCGCCAGCTTTCAAAAGTGACCAAAACATCAGCCAGGAAGCATAGGAACTGAGAAGTGGTCTGTGGTCACCACCTGCAAAACCAGTCCTTTATTGGGGATGTCTTGCTAATTGCCTATAATTTCCACCTGTTGTCTATTCCATTTGCACAACAGCATGTGAAATGTATTGTCAATCAGTGTTGCTTCCTAAGTGGACAGTTTGATTTCACAGAAGTGTGATTGACTTGGAGTTACATTGTGTTGTTTAAGTGTTCCCTTTATTTTTTTGAGCAGTGTATTTAAGTGCCTGTGAATGGGGTATGGTAGGTGCCAGGCGCACCAGTTTGAGTGTGTCAAGAACTGCAAAGCTGCTGGGTTTTTCATGCTCAACAGTTTCCCGTGTGCATCAAGAATCTCCCTTGATCTGGAGCTCCACGCAAGATCTTACCCCGTGGGGTCAAAATGATCACAAGAACGGTGAGCAAAAATCCCAGAACCACACGGGGGGACCTAGTGAATGACCTGCAGAGAGCTGGGACCAAAGTAACAAAGCCTCCATCAGTAACACACTACGCCGCCAGGGACTCAAATCCTGCAGTGTCAGACGTGTCCCCCTGCTTAAGCCAGTACATGTCCAGGCCCGTCTGAAGTTTGCTAGAGCTCATTTGGATGATCCAGAAGAGGATTCGGAGAATGTCATATGGTCAGATGAAACCAAAATATAACTTTTTGGTAAAAATCAACTCGTCGTGTTTGGAGGACAAAGAATGCTGAGTTGCATCCAAAGAACACCATACCTACTGTGAAACATGGGGGTGGAAACATCATGCTTTGGGGCTGTTTTTCTGCAAAGGGACCAGGACGACTGATCCGTGTAAAGGAAAGAATGAATGGGGCCATGTATCGTGAGATTTTGAGTGAAAACCTCCTTCCATCAGCAAGGACCAAATACTTATTTTCCACCATAATTTGCAAATAAATTCATTAAAAATCCTACAATGTGATTTTCTGGAAAGAAAATTCTCATTTTGTCTGTCATAGTTGACGTGTACCTATGATGAAAATTACAGGCCTCTCATCTTTTTAAGTGGGAGAACTTGCACAATTGGTGGCTGACTAAATACTTTTTTCCCCCACAGTAGCTGTTTAGCTTGCTAGCACATTCACGCATTTGTTTGTAAACAATTAACAAGCTAGTTAGCATGTTCTAACTAGCAAGGGCCAGGATATGCCAAATAACTCTTAAACACTTGAGGGCAAATAAATCAGATTTAACTGTTCAGAAAAGATCCATGGCCAGGAATCAGATTAATATCTGATTTTAAACCACCTATGAAAGTGGTTTGAAATGTGGATGGAAATATCTGATTCCATGTGCTCTTTGGCTGTACAAACTACAGGAAAAAATATCAGATTCGAATATGCAAAAAAGGGAATGGTCTCTGGTTCTAATCCCCGCGCCGACTAGGTGACAAATCTGTCGATGTGCCCTTGAGCAAGGCACTTAACCCTAATTGCTCCTGTAATTCACTCTGGATAAGAGCGTCTGCTAAATGACTAAAATGTCAATGTGTTTTGGGAAACGCATGTTACATCTTTGGCCGTTACGAAAACAATGCATCGTTAAAACACTCATAGGCTTAAGTTCCATGCCAGTTAGAGTGCAGTATGCTGCAAATACTGCATCCAAAATAAGTTTTTTTACTGCAGTAATTTTGCAGTATAACTGCAGTAACTCTGCAATTACTGCGTCCAAAATACCACAGTCGACTGCAGTTACTGCACTTTTACTGTAGTTTCAAAACTGCTATCTTTTTTTGTAAGTGTGGCAATAGCAAAACAAGTAGTGGACTTGTTCTGTCACACTTCAAACATCTGAAGGGGACGTTTCAATAAAATCCATCACTTAAATGTCGTTTTTTCATTTACCTTCACCTTTGTTGGCATCCTGCTTGGCTTTTTTTGCCATAAGCTTCTTCTGCTTCAGCTTTTCCCTGAAATACACATACATATCACATACATATGTGTAACATAAACCATCAGCAAGTATAAAGTTTACAGCAGAGACTCAAAGAATAAAAGCCATAGGCTCAATACATTTTATTTTTAGTATGTCCTTGATTAATGCACCAACCTTTTCTTCCTGCGTTTGGCTGTTCTTTCATCAGCTGCCTGTTGGTTATCTGAGACCTTGTCAAGATAGACCAAATCCATCTTTTGCTGCAAGTAAAAATGTTATGTGTTTCTTATTGGTTAACCCCACGCTTGAAAGAAATTGGTTCAGATGAGAAATGATGTAGTCGGCTATCCGTGGGGCACCCCCTTAAAAAAAACAAGATGCCCACCTTCTCAGTCATCTTGTCCAGGAAGTCCTGTCTCTGATACTCTCGCCTGCGAAGGTGTCTGTACACATGGAACTCTCCACTGCCAGCTCCTGCACTGGAGCCTGGAGGAGATTAATTACATATCTCATCAGTGGGTTTAAAACATATTGCCTGGGCTAAAGTGATTTCAAAAAATGCCCGTCAATATGGCTCTCTCTTGCAAGGGATCGCTCTACTCTTGGGCTTCAATAAAAGGGAACCGCACATGCCGCTACCTGAGAATTCACAAATTCATCCGCCAGATTGCAGGCTTACCCATCACATCCCGCACAAACTCCGGAGGAGCCCGGGGGTTCCATTCTTTCGGTCGGTCTGGGATAGGAGCAGGTTTATCCTGCAAACATACGTAAGTATTCGTTGATTTTTTACGATAAATTAACTAGCTAACGTTAGTAGCTATAGTCACTCGCTGTTCTAGTTACCTACCATAAAAGTAAGCACAGATTCACTGCTGTTGGTGCTAACTAACATCGTTTGCTAGCTGTGGAGATAAACATGTGCCCATTTGAAGATATCCTCAAAGGCCAGAACCACCCCAGCCACTTACAGGGTTTCTCATCAATCTCTCCAACTTCAGGCGCTGCTCCTCTACGGGAGTTTTGGCTATAATCAAACGTTGAGATTCCTTTCCTGGCGGCTTCCCTGGTCGCCCATCTTGTTCCTTGCTCACCGCCATCTTTCGAATATGATCTTTGTCTTCTTCTACATTGATTTGTAAGTACAAGGTTTAGCTCCGCCTAGCGTATTGGTGCATTCCTGGAAATTATAAATGAGTATTGAGCTAAATTGGTGAGGTTATTATTTTATTGTTGGTATATTAGGCAGGCACTCGTAGAAAACACAATTAACGATGTTATTTCAAATGAAGGTAGTGGATTTACCTTGCAGAACGTTATTCTAAGGTAGGCTCAGCACCTCCTTGGGAAAGTTGTAATGCAGAGGTCTTGATAGGCCAGTAGGGGGCACTCCTCCCCCTAGTTCAGGGATCATTACATTTACATTTTAGTCCTTTAGCAGACGCTCTTATCCAGAGCGACTTACAGTTAGTGAATGCATACATGTTTTTTTTTGTTTTATATATATTTTTTTGTTGTTTCATCCCCCGTGGGAAACGAACCCACATCCCTGCCGGCCAAACCCTCCCCTACCTTGGACGATGCTGGACCAATTGTGCGCCGCCCCATGGGTCTCCCGGTCGCGGCCGGCTGCGACATAGCCTGGACTCGAACCAGGATCTCTAGTGGCACAGCTAGCACTGCGATGCAGTGCCTTAGACCACTGCGCCACTTGGGAGTCTATAACATTTGATTAAAACATAATCATTTCAAACCTTGCTTACATTTGTATACGCTCACATATATCTCTCGATTATGCATATATCTCTCGATTATGCATGGGAATACTTTGGAACAGATTTCCAAAATGAAAATCACTTGGAGCTGACCTGCTGGTGTTTTTACAGTCTTTTATGTCCAACAATTTACTAAAATGTAATTAAAAAAATCTATTTTGGCTCAGAAAACTTGGGGAACCAAGTAAAATCACCCACAGGCCAAATTAGGCACACATGCCGCCAGTTAGGGAACCCTGCCCTAGTTTAAAGGGGCAATCTTCAGTTGCTACTACCATTTGTAGACTTAAACATTAATGATATGTACCCATTGATTCTTGAAGAATATATAGTTGCGGCCAGATATATTGGCACCCTTGCACTTTAAAAAATATATAATTCTCTATTCCCAACTAATCTGTACCCCTGCACATTGACTCTGGACCGTATATAGCCTTTTTTTTTTTTACTTTAGTTTATTTAGTAAATATTGTAAATATGTTCTTAACTCTATTTTCTTAAAACTGCATTGTTGGTTAAGGGCTTGTAAGTAAGCATTTCACGGTAAGGTCTACCTACACCTGTTGTATTCGACGCATTTGACAAATAACATTTGATTGGATTTTGATGGGATTATTCTAAAATAACTTGAAATTGAAAAAACGTTGGTATCCACACCTTGTTATTGGATTTGCAACATTGCAGAAATAATTACATTTTTGTAAAACAAAAAAAAATTACATTAAGAACACCCTCCCTACAATCAAACATGGAGAGTTTAGATAATTTTTATTTTTTTATTTAACCTTTATTTAACCAGGTAAGCCAGTTGAGAACAAGTTCTCATTTACAACTGTGACCTGGCCAAGATAAAGCAAAGCAGTGAGATAACAACAACAACAACACAGAGTTACATATGGGGTAAACAAAACATAAAGTCAAAAATACAACAGAAAATATATATACAGTGTGTGCGAATGTAGTAAGTTATGGAGGAAAGGCAATAAATAGGCCATAGTGCAAAATAGTTACAATTTCGTATTAACACTGGAATGATAGATGTGCAAAAGATGATGTGCAAATAGAGATACTGGGTGCAAATTAGCAAAATAAATAACAATATGGGGATGAGGTAGTTGGGTGGGCTAATTTCAGAATGGCTGTGTACAGGTGCAGTGATCGGTAAGCTGCTCTGACAACTGATGCTTAAAGTTAGTGATGGAGATAAGAGTCTCCAGCTTCTAACCCAAACCACTCACCATGTACAAAATGGTGTCATCCGCATAGAGGTGGATCCGAGCGTCACCAGCAGCAAGAGCGACATCATTGATATACACAGAGAATAGAGTCGGCCCGAGAATTGAACCCTGTGGCACCCCCATAGAGACTGCCAGAGGTCCAGACAACAGGCCCTCCGATTTGACACATTGAACTCTATCTGAGAAGTAGTTGGTGAACCAGGCGAGGCAGTCATTTGAGAAACCAAGACTATTTAGTCTGCCAATAAGAATGGTTGACAGAGTCGAAAGCCTTGGCCAAGTCGATGAAGACGGCTGCGCAGTACTGTCTTTTATCGATCACGGTTATAATATCGTTTAGGACCTTGAGCGTGGCTGAGGTGCACCCATGACCAGCTCGGAAACCGGATTGCATAGCGGAGAAGGTACGGTGGGATTCGAAATGGTCGGTGATCTGTTTGTTAACTTGGCTTTCAAATACTTTCGAAAGGCAGGGCAGGATGGATATAGGTCTGTAACAGTTTGGATCTAGAGTGTCACCCCCTTTGAAGAGGGGGATGACTGCGGCAGCTTTCCTATCTCTGGGGATCTCAGACGTTACGAAAGAGAGGTTGAACAGGCTAGTAATAGGGGTTGCGACAATTTCAGCAGCTAATTTTAGAAAGAAAGGGTCCAGATTGTCTAGTCCAGCTGATTTGTAGGGGTCCCGATTTTTCAGCTCTTTCAGAACATCAGCTGTCTGAATTTGTGTGAAGGAGAAGCAGGGGGGGCATGGGCAAGTTGCAGCGGAGGGTGCAGAGCTGGTGGCCGGGGTAGTGGTAGCCAGGTGGAAAGCATGGCCAGCCGTAGCAAAATGATTGTTGAAATTCTCGATTATTGTAGATTTATCGGTGGTGACAGTGTTTCCTAGCCTCAGTGCAGTGGGCAGTTGGGAGGAGGTGCTCTTATTCTCCATGGACTTAACAGTGTCCCAAAACGTTTTGGAGTTAGTGCTACAGGATGCACATTTCTGTTTGAAAAGGCTAGCCTTTGCTTTCCTAACTGATTGTGTATATTGGTTCCTGACTTCCCTGAAAAGTTGCATATCGCGGGGTTGCTGTGCTGCCTCTGGTACTGGGGGCCTTGAACATGCGTGCGCAAGGCATCATGAAATCAGCAGATTATCTATGGCAAGATCATAAAACAGCAGTTGGTGGAGGGCACCCCTCAAACATTGAAGATTTACAGCAGTTTGCTCCTTAAAAGTGGGCCAAATTGCCAGTAGAAAGGTGTAGCAAACTCATTGATGGCTACATTTTAGTCATTTTAGCAGACGCTCTTATCCAGAGCGACTTAGGTTTAAGTGCCTTGCTCAAGGGCACATCGACAGATTTTTCACCTAGTTGGCTCGGGGATTAGAACCAGCAACCTTTCAGTTACTGGCACAACGCTCTTAACCGCTAAGCTACCTGCCGCCTAGTGTTTGTCTGCAGTTATCATGGCAAAAGGTGTGCTGGGTGCTAGTACTGCCGTTTGTCTCCATTTTCTAAATAAAAATTGTAAACTTAAGTTTAAAAAAAATACAATTGGTTCTGCAATGTAGAAAATTCAATAACAATGTGTGGTGACCAAACGTTTTCATTTATTTATTATTTCAACTCATTTTAGAAGAAATTGGGAATTATTTAAGAATGGTGCAAAGGTGCCAATTTATTTCACATAAACTTTAACTTAAAAATGCCTCATGAGCTTAGTTCAACTGTCATACCCCATCAGAACCCAAAATATAGCCTAAGCTTGTTTTACTCCAATGTTTGTGAACAAAGTATATGTAAACAAACTCTTTATAGACTCAAAACAGGCTTAAAACTATTATGTTTATATAATGGTCAGTACTTGCATCCATAGCTCTGTCTATGAATTTGAGTGGTTGCATTACTCCAGCTCCATCCCTCAGCTTTTTACCCAAACAGTGGTGGGGGAAACGCTTTGTTATTGTTTCAACAGTGGATTGCCCCTTTAAAGGCAAAAGCTTGGGAGGCTTGGCTTGGTCCTACCTTGAGAAACAGATTCCACAGCCCTTGCACGTTAAAAGTGACATCCCATTTATTGTGACCATGTAACCAACTCCCCTACTTGAGATAAGATGCATGATTTCTTTATTGCTCATTGCTCAACAACTAATGCTTGTTAGGCCTGTTGGTATAAGATGATGCATCAGCATCACCCAGGGGAGGAGCAAGCGTAAGGTTAGCCCTAACACTCAGAAAAATAACGAATATGCATGTAACTCAATTCCTTTCCATAAAAGAAATATTTTGTTTTATTTAGTGTAGCTTTCCTAGTTAGACTCTGAACATGCTATCATCTAGCCTGAACATCAACATCATGCACGTTGCTCAGTACAGAACAACCTAACCTCACCTATCTCTACTAAAGCCAACACACAATCGATGGTCTCTGTTATGACAATAAACATATAACAACTCTTATGCAAAATGCTCTGAATGGTCAAAGCCACAGCGTTACAGAGAAAATGCTGTTTCAATTAGGCTTACTTTCAGTCCCTCCGAGAAAGGCAATTACGCAAGGCAATTATGATACACACTCAAAATGCATCAACTCATTGCGTTTGAATTAATTCGACTGGTTACATCCTAAACAGAGAGCAGTAGGGATATTTCCCCCCTCTACACATCAACCATAGGGAGAACATGTTTATGGCGAGTCAACCAGGCAGATATAAACATAATTGAACTCCCAATAGACACACATACACCATACACACTTACTGAGTGAGTGTGTGTGTTTGTTCATGCCTGCGTTTGTGCATGCACATGTGCTTAACAGGTTGAGGGAGATCCAGAAGCAACGGGATGGTTTCTCCCAGTAAACCCTGTCTGAGCTGATTTGTGAATGTGCTCGCAGACTCCCTTCATGAATGCCTGGCTAAAGCAGACACTGTACTCACCCCTTGCTCGGTTACCCCTCAGTCCCCCCCCAACCTCCCATAGAGTTTCTCTCTAGGGTACAGGACTTGTTTATGCCACTCGCCCTGCGTGGCATTCTCTGGAGGCGTTGTGTGGGCTCTAGTCTATATGATTTCATTTTCCCTATTACGCCCACAGCATCTTAATGTAAGCAGGGATGTCCCAGTTACGTAACATGTAGCACACTCACAATGTGATGTTTAAAACTTGCAGATGGGCGCAAAATGAATCTGGATGGAAGGGTTGGGGATTAGAGAGAGAGAGAGAGAGAGGGGGGGAGAGAGAGAGAGATGTACTGGATATGCTGTGCTACAGCCCCCTGTCTTTGGGGCACAGGGGCTTATGTTAATTTGATACAGCCCTCATGAATTTGACATTGATCGGCCCTGCCCCTTCCTCTCCTCAAATTCAGTTCTATCCCAAACCACTCACCAGATAGACCCTGCTAAAAGATCAAAGGCGGATAAATGTCCCGTCCCCCCCCCCCCCACCACAGGGACATTTGATAGGGCTAATGAGCAACATAAACACTCACACACAATGTTTTCACCCAATCCCATACTGTGAATAGTTGGAAGGGAAAATAAATATAAAATATTTCTGCCTTAATTAAACATCAAATATTCACCTGACTTAAATCTCTATACTGTACATAGGAAAAAGGCTAATCTGTTTTCATAGATCAAATGTATCTTTCAACTATGAAATATAGCTGATGATTTTTATGGTGTGAATGCAAAGGATTGGAGCTGGAGTTAAGCTTCAAAGAAATTGAAGGCGCACCTAATCACTGTGCCAAAACATTCATTTGCATTGACTGGGTTACTATGGTGAAAATATTAATTATTTCACATATGGCCACGTTTTATAAGATCACATCAATGTTAGGGTGTGGTAGGTTAAGACTAGATCAAAATGCTGCATTCATTATGCTCTAATGTAAGTGAATATCTCAAACCTGAAGGATTTGCTGTTCCTGATCAGTTCCATATTTCTAACATTATCAATGCTGCTTTCATGAATTCAAAAATAGTGTTTCTTCCTAATAGATGAAATTGGCAGGGACAAAAAACACTGGGAGAAAGTGAGCATGGGTTCTTCTAAAATAAAATAAAACTCCTTGCCCAAAGAGAGCTAAAAGGTTAATAATGAGCTGATGACAGAGGGCAATTTTGTCAGATAAACCACCAGTGACAAAAGCTGTTGTTGACATAAAATGTTGCTGAACAGAGCAGGAAACATTCCTCTATTTGACAAGGCCTGTGGTGCTACTACCCATTGTCAAGCCTTGCCCCCTCTGTCCAGCCACGGCCACTGTGTTGCCCATGGGGCCTGTTAGAGAGAGCACAGGAGGCTGATGAGACTCCAGATGGCCCATGGGGTGGGAAGTCAACCGAGAGATGGCCAGGCTTTCTGCCCCTCTCCTGTAGGGAATACAAGTAAGGCCAACGTCTTTAATTTACGATATACTGTAGGCTAAACATGTGTGTATTTCTACGTTGTGTTTGTTAAGATTTTATCATGTTTAGGCCTCCTAAGGGACGCAGTGGTCTAAGGCACTGCAACACAGTGCTTGAGGCGTCACTACAGACCCCCGTTCGATCCCCGGCTGTGTCTCAGCCGGCTGCGACCGGGAGACCCATGAGGAGGCCCACAGTTTGCCCAGCGGCGTCCGGGTTAGGGGAGGGTTTGGCCGGCCGGGATGTCCTTGTCCCATCACGCTCTAGCGACTCCTGTGGCGGGCCGGGCGCATGAATGCTGACACGGTCGCCAGTTCTACAGCGTTTCCTCCGACACGTTGGTGTGGCTGGCTTCCGGGTTAAACGAGCAGTGTGTCGAGAAGCAGTGCGGCTTGGCAGGGTCGTGTTTCGGAGGAAACATGGCTCTCGACCTTCGCCTCTCCCGAGTCTGTACGGGAGTTGCAGCGATGGGACAAGACTGTAACTACCAATTGAATATCACGAAAAAGGGGTGAAAAACAATAAACGATTTGTTGATGCAGGCCAAGTTTAAATAATGAGATTGTAAGTATTGTAATGAATCATTGTTGTCTCTCGTTTAGTATGCTTCTTCACACACAACCGCAACTCTGTTTTTTTTCTCCTCACGCAATCAGGTCACTGGCAGTTCAGTGTCGAGACATGCATACAAATGGACATTTACCTACTGAGACGCCATGATCTTATTCACCATGATCTTATTCGGAGCGGCCTGCCCCGGGTCCCTTTCTCTCAACACTCATATTTTAGACGCCACACGCATTCATATTGAGACATTGCAGTGAAATACACAACAGGCAAAAAAGGGGAAATTGAATGATACATTTTGACATACTCTGGACATTTCCTAGAAGTGCTTGCAACCATAATCTACTGATATGAAAAGTGGGCTTTTCATGTCAATAGTATTGTTTTTGGCTAGTGAATAACCACCACATTGGATTTGATGTACTCTAATTCACATTCCCCCCCATTTTCAGGAAATATGCAAGAGTATTCAGTTACCTTGATGAGGGAAGAGAAAGATACTGTACTGGACAAAATGCTAAAAGCTTTAGATGTGATCCTGAAACAGAATGGAAACCCCACATTGATATATGTATACCATTCCCTTTCATAAAGACTTTCTGTGATAGCTTCTGTTTATTGTCATTAGGCCTAATATCTGGGTTAGAATTTAAATCTGCACTGTCACACGTGTTAAAACACAAGTAACTTCAGTACTCCAACATGAGCTGAAAGGCCTGGTAAACAATTAATGTGGGCTCAATAAAGTCCTCTTATTCTAGTCCCTTAAGTCACTCATGAACTCTGTACAATCTTATTGCCATAATAAAATATTGAGGACATAAGGGAAGACTTGTTTGTGACCAGAGTCCTCCCCCCCAGTCATGCCATGGTTGTTCGCTCTGGCAGGGGTCTCCTATGGGAGGGCACAAGATCTGAGCTATAAAGTTCACACTCACCTTGGAGCCTTTGATACTGTCCATCATAATGCTAGAGGCTAAACAAGGTGTTTTGGTTGGTTGGAGGCGTGACTTGTCGCGTGGAGATTCCTGTGCCTACTGATGTAATGGACCTTGTCGGGCTGCTGTGATAGTAGCTCTCTCCCAATGAATCTAATGCTAATCACATCATTGAGAGACATTTATTTTATTGCTGCAAATTTAGCACCCCATCGATTTGAACTGCAAAAACAGAACGTTATAATTACCTATTATAAACTTGGTGATTCGAGCCCTGAATGCTGATTGGCTGATAGCCGTGGTATATCAGACAGTATACCACGGGTATGACAAAACAGTTATTTTTACTGCTCTAATTACGTTGGTAACCAGTTTATAATAGCAATAAGGCACCTCTGGGGTTTGTGGTATATGGCCAATTTACCACGGCTAAGGGCTGTATCCAGGCACTCAGCGTTGCGTCGTGCTTGAGAACAGCCCTTAGCCATGGTATATTGGCCATATACCACACCCCATCGGGCCTTATTGCTTAATTATCCTATTTTCCCCAAAGTGCACTTATATGCTGGACTGGTAGTAAGGAAATTTGAGGAAATAAATTGTTTCATATTAAATCATAACAGTATGTGCTGTCTAAGATCAGCCTGCAGAAGGCTGGCTTTCTCACAGAGATAAAATGTACACGCTCTCCTACTCAGTTCGGAGGAGAAAATAAAACAAATCTGATCTCCTGAAAGATCCTGTGTGGCTCAGTTGGTAGAGCATGGTGCTTATGACACCAGGGTTGTGGGTTCGTTTCCCACTGGGGACCAGTATGTGAATGTACAAAAAATGGATGCACTCACTACTGTAAGTCGCTTTGGATAAGAGCATCTGCTAAATAACTAAAATGTAAATGCAGTTTCTCATTTATCAGAATAAGCAAAAGCCTTTGTAGCTGGGCATTTAAAATAGAATTTCCGTAAATAATTTGCAGATGTGAATGCTTCGACACTGTTTGTGAAATAACAAACACAGAGTTGGGCGCTCTTCAAGGTTTATTTGTGACAGTAATCAACTTCGCCTGAGAATCTTGATGACCCTTTAGAAAATGTAGCCCTGTTTGGGAGCCTGGCCAAAGATAACAATGTTACTGTGTTTCCCCATATCCCCTCTCAGCGATATTATTCATTTAATAAAATCCACGTGATAACACCATTTTTTGAAGAGCAAACAGTTGTGTTGCCAGTGTATATCTACTGGCTGGATAAATAATACATTTTAGACCATCTGCACTAAATGTGCATTTGAAAATAGAAGCTGCATAAACGCTGCCACATATCGTGTTCTTGGTTAATCTTTGTGTTGCAATTTCAGGACGATGGCTTGGAAATGGTTCCAAAGCTGCATAAATATGACTGCATTGCTTGGATCGAACTATGAAACAAGTAATAACAAGGATTTAGGTTAATAATAAACACCATGATTTGGACTTTATTGATCATCAGCAAAATGACACCAGGCCATTTCATAGAAGCCTTGCAGTTCTCAGTCGGATTAATGGACAATGAGGTCCTTTATGACAAACTGGAGACACTAGTCCATCTGTGACATTTCCATATCATAGCTGTGTTTTACAACACTGTAATGCCCTGGAAGTGTAACATTCAAATAAAAAATGAAAACCATGCCCTGTTTCTCCTTCATTTACTCCCTTGCTTTCAACTAAATTTCTTCCGTGCTTTATGGCTTCCGGTTATCTCCCTTTTTTAGGTATGTTTACATTTTGTGTCATGGATGGCGAACATATGATTCAGATCAATTCCACAAACAGCCATCTTTGCGTGCATGAGTCTGGTAGCCACTGTTTGGTTCCATGTCTAGAGACCTCTAGGGCCCATTCCTCAGTTATCTGTATGGAGGCTCAGGCTGGTGAGGGGCGGGCCTATAGAGCTGCTGTAACCGCATCGGTCTGGTTGACCAGCCACCGGGTAACTGTCCAATGACCCGGAGGTTCACAGGATGCCCATGTCCAGAGAGCGGGGCACTGGGGCTCAGGATGTGGGTCTGGCCTGGCTGGGAGTCCAGCGGAGGTAGACTGGTGTGGGTCGGGGCAGAGGGCGAGGTGGTGGAGGAGGGTGGCAGGGGGAAGTGGGGAAGCAGGATGGCGGGGGTGAGGCCGTAACGGAGCTGGAAGACCCGGGGCGGGCCCTGGGCCATGAAGCCGTTGGGCCGCTGGGGTTCCGGGTGCTCGTCCCTCTTCACCTCCCGCATCTTGTCCTCTCGCTCCTCTGGCTTTTTGGGTTTGCTGGAATTCTGTTTTGCTCGGTTGAGCTCCTGGATTTTCTCGGCCTGAGCACGGCGGATGTGGTAGCTCTTCCTGGAGCTTTGGAAGGAATCAAGAAACCCCTCCAGGGGCACATTCCCCTCCATGAACTTCTCCAGGAGGTCCTGTGAAGGAGAGGCCCACAAATAAACGGGTATCAGAAGACAGGAATTCAAACAAAAGGATTCCCAACCCCTGGGAACAGTTCAAACACAGCCTCACCTGTAAAAGGGGATTTCACATTAACTTATGTTTTTCCATTAACTTTGAAACAGTTGTAAGTGTAGATCATTTCTTTCTTTTTTTACATAGGCCAAACCTGTACATCCAGTAACACTTCCACTGGAACAGCCCTAGAATGACTGTAATCAGTCTGACTGGCAACTGTGCCCCCAGTCATGGGGAGCAGGTGGAAGACCCGTCTAGCCCAGTATGGGGGGAGTGAATAATTGATGACAGTCTAGTCTGCACAGCCCACCTCCCCAAACACTCTAACCTTTGTCTGAGCATAGCCAATGGAAATGACTCAATTAACGGGCAGCCACTGGCTACGCACACAAAAAAGGCTTAGGTCATTACTGTGTCTCTTCCATATCGGAGCAGTGCAAATGGTCCCCACAGTACCACCATAATTGCTCTGGACACTGTTTCTTTCTTCACAGTTGCCAGCTGTAGAGGGCTTGACACAATCAACCCTCTATGATATTACCTTTGGCCTCGGGGGCTGAAATCTGGCAGCTTCAACACGGAGCCGCTAAAGATATTCATGTGTGGCGATACATAAGACCAAATGGTGTCAGAAGGCTGGAACACACAAAAGGAACCACCCTTACTGCCATATGTTAGAGAAATTGATTGTGTGAAATCCATCTAATAAACAAATGGGCTGAGGTCGTCTATTTTCAAGTGACCTGTGTTTTTTCAGTGCTGGCTAAGAGCCATCACTCAACACAGTCCTGTTATGATGAGGGTCACCCAATCAATCAGGCTGACTGCTGCCCTAACAACTTTGAGTCATGGAGCCATCAATCGGGGTTGTGTGAGGTGGAGGAAGCACCGTTTATTTACATCTGTTAGCTGGACGGCCTTGCATGGATAAATCAAAACCTGTTGGAAGGATTGTGTGTGGGGGGATAGTCTGTGGAAGTAAGCCTTTCTCATGATGGGAACGTGCTGTATAGGACTGTTGTCTGTTCACGGTTATGCATTCGGTCACCTACTTAAATGGTTTGTTAAATGAAGGATTACAAGGACCACTTGCTAATGGCTCAAGCTCAATAAATGTGTAGTGCCATACGTTCCTCTCCAAATAAAATGTTTTATCACCTAGCACAGTGTGAGGGCAGATTAAATGTGTCGAGGTTGCACAAATTGTCTTGTAAAAATAACCTTTCACACGAGGGTAAAAACATACCGATATATACCCAGCAAACATGACCCCATGATTCCATTTCCATTGCCCCGTGCGGTTGGCAAGGTGTGTACAGGCTAGCCCACACCAACCCAACACGAGCTAGCCCGCACCAAACCGAACACGGGCTTGCCCACACCAAGCCCAACACGGGCTAGCCCACACCAACCCCAGCTACTTCATAATATAGAGGCGGGGGCTCATTAGAATATTTTGAGACGTGGTTTGCACACTGTTCTTTTTGTGCAACCATTACTGAGAGTGTCGTTCCAGTTTAAGTGTTCTGTTGTGTGATGGCAAAAATATTTTATCTTGTACACTGTCAATGTTGAAGTCTTTATAAAGACTTAAAGATGGAATCCGCAGTAGGGTAAATTGCGCCACTGGCCGCCCCACCTCCGTTGTTATTGTTTTTGTTGCCAAGCTGAGGAGCGTCTTGCAGCATGATAAAAAAATTGCAGTACATATTGTGCTCTTCTATGGATGGGCTAGCCACATCTGTTTTCGATATTACAACAACAAAGAAGTTACTGAAAACAACAGTGGCCATATCCGAATACCCATACAAGCGTACTACATACTTAAACGGCATACTATGTACTCATTGTCGCATGCTATTTAGCACGTACCGTTTAGTAAAAAGTATGCAGTATGCCAAGGCCGCAACACAGTAGCGGCTCCTGACTAGCTGAGTAGGTGGGGCGTGGCCGAGTGCGGGTGGATTTTTCCAAATTCAACAGACATGCATCGCATTAACGAGCCTGATAATACCTCATTTCCAATTCAATTAATTTAACTAAACTCTGAATAGAATAGGAATGGAGTTATAGGCCTACTCAGGCTGCTTATAGGCAGACTATCACATTCAAACTATACCATAGCCCATATAGCCCATCTATCCTATTTAAAAAGGACTGAAGACAGAAACAGATCATTTGGTTCCATTTCAACATACAGTTGAAGTCGGAAGTTTACATATACTTAGGTTGGAGTCATTAAAACTTGTTTTTCAACCACTCTACAAATTTCTTGTTAACAAACTATAGTTTTAGCAAGTCGGTTAGGACATCTACTTTGTGCATGACACAAGTAATATTTCCAACAATTGTTTACAGACAAATTATTTCACTTATAATTCACTGTATCACAATTCCAGTGGGTCAGAAGTTTACATACACTAGGCTGCTGCTGCCTATTGAAATCACTGGCCACTTTAAGAAATGGAACACTAGTCACTTTAATAATGTTTACATATCTTGCACTACTCATCTCATATGTATATACTGCATTCTATTCTATAATATTCTTCTGTATCTTAGTCCATGCTGCTCTGTCATTGCTTGTCCATATATGTATATTTTCTTAAATCCCATTCCTTACTTTTTTGTGTGTATTGGGTATATGTTGTGTAATTGGTAGATATTACTGCACTGCCGGAGCTAGAAGCACAAGCATTTCGCTACACCCGCTATAACATCTGCTAAACACGTGTATGTGACAAATAAAAATTGATTTGATTTGACTAAGTTGACTGTGCCTTTAAACAGCTTGGAAAATTCCAGAAAATGATGTCATGGCTTTAGAAGCGTCTGATAGGCTAATTGACATCATTTGAGTCAATTGGAGGTGTACCTGTGGATGTATTTCAAGGCCTACCTTCAAACTCACTGCCTCTTTGCTTGACATCATGGGAAAATCAAAAGAAATCAGCCAAGACCTCAGAAAAAAAATTGTAGACCTCCACAAGTCTGGTTCATCCTTGGGAGCAATTTCCAAACGCCTGAAGGTACCACGTTCATCTGTACAAATAATAGTACGCAAGTATAACACCATGGGACCACGCAGCCGTCATACCGCTCAGGAAGGAGAGACGTTCTGTCTCCTAGAGATGAATGTACTTTAGTGCGAAAAGTGCAAATAAATCCCAGAACAACAGCAAAGGACCTTGTGAAGATGCTGGAGGAAACAGGTACAAAAGTATCTATATCCACAGTAAAACCAGTCCTATATCGACATAACCTGAAAGGCCGCTCAGCAAGGAAGAAGCCACTGTTCCAAAACCGCCATAAAAAAGCCAGACTACGGTTTGAACTGCACATGGGGACAAAGATCTTACTTTTTGGAGAAATGTCCTCTGGTCTGATGAAACAAAAAGAGAACTGTTTGGCCATAATGACCATTGTTATGTTAGAAGGAAAAAGGGGGTGACTTGCAAGCCCAAGAACACCATCCCAATCGTGAAGAACGGGGGTAGCAGCATCATGCTGTGGGGGTGCTTTGCTGCAGGAGGGACTGGTGCACTTCACAAAATAGATGGCATCATGAGGAAGGAAAATTATGTGGATATATTGAAGCAACATCTCAAGACATCAGTCAGGAAGTTAAAGCTTGGTCGCAAATGGGTCTTCCAAATGGACAATGACCCTAAGCATACTTCCAAAGTTGTGGCAAAATGGCTTAAGGACAACAAGGTCAAGGTAATGGAGTGACCATCACAAAGCCCTGACCTCAATCTTATAGAAAATTTGTGGGCAGAACTGAAAAAGCGTGTGCGAGCAAGGAGGCCTACAAACCTGACTCAGTTACACCAGCTCTGTCAGGAGGAATGGGCCAAAATTCACCCAACGTATTGTGGGAAGCTTGTGGAAGGCTACCCGAAATGTTTGACCGAAGTTAAACAATTTAAAGGCAATGCTACCAAATACTAATTGAGTGAATATAAACTTCTGACCCACTGGGAATGTGATGAAAGAAATAAAAGCTGAAATAAATCATTCTCTCTACTATTATTCTGACATTACACATTCTTAAAATAAAGTGGTGATCCTAACTGACCTAAGACAGGGAATTTTTACTAAGATTAAATGACAGCAATTGTGAAAACCTGAGTTTAAATGTATTTGGCTAAGATGTATGTAAACTTCCGACTTCAACTGTATTTATTAGTGAAACCAAAGTCCTGTAACGTATATAAAATAAATCAAATAGCCTAGTACACACACCAAACCTTTTCAAATGTTCAAATCGAAAGGCTATTGCACAGAATAACGTAGACAGTCAGGTGCATCGCAAATTCAGAAACGCTGGACAGTAACATAATAAACTAAAGCACTGATCATTGAGAACGAGATCAGACTGACTGCTAAAGCTTGATCCATAATTAAATAATTAAATAGGTAGCCTACAAAACTAAAACAATCCGCCTCATGCAGCGCGACACATCTCCTTCGCATAGAGTTCATCATGCTGTTGATTGTGGCCTGTGGAATGTTGTCCCACTCCTCTTCAATGGCTGTGCGAAGTTGCTGGATATTGGTGGAAACTGGAACACGCTGTCATACACGCAGATCCAGAGCATCCCAAACATGTGACATGTCTGGTGAGTATGCAGGCCATGGAAGAACGGGGACATTTTCTGCTTCCAGGAATTGGGTTCAGATCGTTGTGACATGGGCCATGCATTGTCATGCTGAAACATTAGGTGATGGTGGCGGATGAATGGCACGACAATGGGCCTCAGGATCTCATCCCAGTATCTCTGTGCATTCAAATTGCCATCGATAAATTGTGTTCGTTGTCCGTAGCTTATGCCTGCCCATACCATAACTCCACCGCCACCATGGGGCACTCTGTTCACAACCTTGACATCAGCAAACCGCTCACCCACATAACGCCATACACGCTGTCTGCCATCTGCCCGGTACAGTTGAATCCGGGATTAATCCGTGAAGAGCATCTTTCTCCAGCATGCCAGTGGCCATCGAAGGTGAGCATTTGCCCACTGAAGTTAGTTACGATGCCGAACTGCAGTCAGGTCAACATCCTGGTGAGGACGAAGAGCACGCAGATGAGCTTCCCTGAGACGGTTTATGCATGTGAGGCCGGTTGTGAGGCCGGTTGGACGTACTGCCAAATTCTCTAAAACGACGTTGGAGGCGGCTTATGGTAGAGAAATGAACATTCAATTCTCTTGCAACAGCTCTGGTGGACATTCCTGCAGTCAGCATGCCAATTGCACGCTCCCTTAAAACTTGAGACATCTGTGGCACTGTGTTGTGACAAAACTGCAGAGTAGCGTTTTATTGTCCCCAGCACAAGGTGCACCTGTGTAATGATCATGCTGTTTAATCAGCTTCTTGATATGCCACACCTGTCAGGTGGATGTATTATCTTGGCAAAGGAGAAAAGCTCTCTAACAGGGATGTAAACAACTTTGTGCACAGAATTTGAGAGAAATAAGCATTTAGTGCGTATGGAAAATTTCGGGGATCTTTTATTTTAGCTCGTGAAACATGTGACCAACACTTTACATGTTGCGTTTATATTTTTGTTCAGTGTAGTTATATAAAAATTGTAGCTTTAGGTTACTGAGGTATTTACATTTTTCAGTAAACCGTGCCAGTTAACTTGCAGTGCACGTTAAAAAGTAGCTGAATATACATATACACATTTATGTAAATGTATGCACATGCTATAATTCATCAAAGGTAGGCCTATATCTATAAATCCACCCAACCATGTCAGCGTTTGAGTGTTACATTTCCCAGCGCTGTTAACATTATAAATATTCCCTGTCCTCCTTCACTCACACGTATTTGCGGAATATCACACGAACTGAGATGAGGCATTAGGGGGGGGTTCTGTGCTATGGCTCATGGTAAAGACCGTTGAGCAGACTGTGTGGAATACAGAGTGTTATTAATTAAATGTGATGTGGACATACAGTATAGGCTAGGCTATGGGGGTTGGGGGAGGCCTTTCATTCTGGAGAGAGACAACTGAGGGCTGTCACATGACTCCTGCTCCATTGTGGCTCCCCGGTTTCTCATGGGATGCATGGGCTGTCAATTGATTTGTACAGTGATTACACTATTGCTCAGTCTAGAACATTTTTGGAAATGGAGCGGGTCATCCCCATGTATGGATTTCTGTTAACTGTCTGGTTGTCAATAACATTGTGTGTTTAATACGCAAATGAACATTTGAAAGAACTGGTTCTTTTGAAATCAAGAGGTCTAGGCAAATGTTCTCTTTCAAACTATGGACATTTCTATTGAAATCGTGACCAGGTGTAGTATAGGGCATAGAAAACGCTGGGCAAAATCCTTCATTTTTTAAATCTCACTTGAAAACGGCAACCAGTACAGTGTAGATCATAACTGCTGCAGGCTTGAATACTCAAGTACACATGAGTTTCATGGACTATTCCTAGAACAAGCAGTAATCTGTCCGACTTTACTGGAGTGCAGAATGAACAAAAGTGGCCTGGCTGTTGACTGGCGCGGAGGCTTTTCAATTATTCAACACTAGTGCTGACAATGCAAAGAACACACTCAGTGGTTTACGCTAAGACTAAACATTAGAGTTAGGGCTTTGGATTTACCTCGGACTGTTCATCAGCACGCGCCACATCTTCCTGGAGAAGATTCTGTGCTGTCTGGAGACTGTGCTTCTGTATGTCGGCCTCTGCAAGGACAAAGAAACATAATTGATTCACAGGGAATGACAGTGATAGAGGGAGCAGTTAAGAAAAAGAGCTTACCAAAAGAGTGACTTATGACTAGCTCAAGACTGAGGGTGGTTTAGTCACTGAGAAACCAGGAGAGATTAAATCATTTTAAAACAAATAACATTTTAGGGAATGAACATTATTTCAAAATCGGACCTCTCTGAAATGAAAATGGATGGCCCTGCCTTCCGCAAAATATATTTTACCTAAACTCTCTCTGAATGCTTGAAGAAAAAACAAGTGACCCTCCCCTATACCCAAAATAATAATTAAAACAAAATGGATAGTAGAGAACATGTCTACTGTTTACCCTCACTTCTTAGACAGATCAGAGCCTTAGATATACGTTTTAGAAACTGTTCTTCGTCCTGTAAGCATTACATGGCAACGCAGGAATTCTGATGCACAGGGCTGCAGGCCAGAAGGTTGTGGCTCATGGTAAAGACCGTTGAGCAGACTGTGTGGAATACAGAGTGTTATTAATTAAATGTGATGTGGACATACAGTATAGGCTAGGCTATGGGGGTTGGGGGAGGCCTTTCATTCTGGAGAGAGACAACTGAGGGCTGTCACATGACTCCTGCTCAATTGTGGCTCCCCGGTTTCTCATGGGATGCATGGGCTGTCAATTGATTAAATCTGAGACGTCATCTGGGAATCTGGGAACGGTACTTTCAAAAGTTAGGCCCACCTTAACCCAATGAGAGAAGGTCACAAGTGTTTCCCTAAAAGCTGACTGGGTTTAAACATATTCTATTGTACAGAAAGTCAATCAATCAATCACATTTATTTATAAAGCACTTTTTATGGCCTCCCGACTGGCGCAGCGGTCTAAGGCACTGCATCGCAATGTTAGAGGCATCACTACAGACCCGGGTTCGATCCCAGGCTGTTTCGCAGCGGGCCGCGACCGGGAGACCCATGAGGCGGCGCACAATTGGCCCAGCGGCGTCCGGGTTAGGGGAGGGTTTGGCCAGCCGGGATGTCCTTGTCCCATCGCTCTCTAGTGACTCCAGCGCATGCACGCTGACTTTGGTCGCCAGTTGTACGGTGTTCCCTCCGACACATTGCTGCGGCTGGCTTCCGGGTTAAACGTGCAGGGTCGTGTTTCGGAGGATGCATGGCTCTCAACCTTCGCCTCTCCCGAGTCCGTACAGGAGTTGCAGCGATGGGACAAGATTGTAACCAGCAATTGGATATCACGAAATACAACAACAAAGAAAGCCCTTTTTACATCAGCAGATGTCACAAAATGCTTATACAGAAACCCCAAAGCAAGCAATGCAGATGTAGAAGCGCGGTGGCTAGGAAAAACTCCATAGAAAGGCAGGAACCTAGGAAGAAACCTAGAGAGGAACCAGACTCTGAGAGGTGGCTGAAGTGAATAGCTTAATCAATTGATAGGGACAGAATTTTCCCAAGCGAAGTCAGCCTCTGAATATCTAAGACACGAAACAATGATATCCCCATATGCATCGGAATCACGTCTTTACCAGGTATTTTACTGCTTGTTTCGCGAACAAAGCACTGTTATAGATCACGTTATACACTGAGTATACAAAACATTAAGGACACCTGCTCTTTCTATGACGTAGACTGACCAGGTGAAACCAGGTGAAAGCTATGATCCCTTATTGATGTCACTTGTTAAATCCACTTCAATCGGTGTAGATGAAGGGGAGGAGACAGGCTAAAGAAGGATTTGTAAGCCTTGAGACAAATGAGACATGGATTGTGTATGTGTGCCATTCAGAGGGTGAAAGGGCAAGACAAAAGATTGAAGTGCCTTTGAACGGGGTATGGTAGTAGGTGCCAGGCACACCGGTTTGTGTCAAGAACTGCAACGCTGCTGGGATTTGCAACTCAGTATTAGGAAGGTGTCCTTAATGTTTTGTACACTCAGTGTATAATCTAACAAGGGTTGGGCCTGTGCTTTTTGCCATTTTCTTTCATAAAAGGTAGACCAACAAATGTATGGATATAGCAACCTATACCCTAATTTCGTCTGTCAAACAGGTAGGCTTACCTCTTATTTCTTAAATAGGAAAAAATAGGCTCCAACACAAAGCCCTCTTGTTGTTGGTGAAGTCTAATTAAAATAAAGACGGTTTAAATGAATTATGCCTACACGAATTTGCCTACTTTCAGCACCATCAGCTGTCCATTTCCAATTGATTCTGGATTGACAATGTACCACAATGTAAGTTACTTGAATCTAGCTTATTGTGAGGTCAATAAATCAGATAAATACATCATGGGCAAGAAACATATTGTTTTTAATACAATTATTAGGCCTTGCTTGCGAACTACCCTATAGCCTGTGTTCTGTTCAGTTTGAGGAGAGCTAGTCCTCCTTCTCATCTTCGCGCTCTCCTTCTCAAACTGAACAGAACACAGGCTATAGGGTAGTCCGCAAGCAAGATGGTGAATTTTTGGGACTAGGCCTAATAAATAAAAACATTCGGAAGAAACCTTTGACTACCCTCCTGAACTGCCACTGTAGCCCTACACAGCACAGCCATTGGTTAAGCAGCACACAAAAACGTTTTTGATCAGCAAGAGCAGAGCAGGCCTGGGCTCAGGGTTGGAATATCCATTGCAGTGTGTAAGGCAGCGTAGTTTTATTTACACCATCCCAGCAGCTATCTTAGAAATATAATTTTGCTCTGTGCTTCTCCGAGCATGCACTTCGTAGGCTAAAGGCTATGGATCATTTGATTGAGACCACACTAAATTATGGAGGACTAAAAGTGCCACAATTAAATAAATAAATACACCATTAAATAATTACTTAAATGTGTCATTAATTAATTAAAATTAGAATTAAATACATAAATGTGTTATTAAATGTGTCATTAATTAATTCAAATACCGATTCATTTTATGTAAAATACATATATAATAATTTCACTATTTACATTTACATTTCATGGTCCTGCGTTGGAGTGCTTCCTGAATTACTTAAAACTGTCAAACTGACCCATCAAAAGTTGGTAGGCGGAACCTAACGCCTGATTGGTTACCCTCTGCATCAAGCCAAGACAAATCAATTCCGGATAATGTCAGCAGGTCCTGCTTCTACATCCTCTGCTAAGTTTAAAATGTCTCTAACCAACTCCCTGGAAAGTTCACGGAGATCCTCCATTGTCTCTATCCAGGTTGGCCTACTCTACTTCAGACCAAAGCAATGGATCAGACTAGATTCGCGTTAGCCCCGCCCACTGACTTTGATGGGTCAGTTTGACAGTTTTAAGTAATTCATGAATCACTGCAATGCAGGATCATGAAATGTAAATGTAAATAGTGAAATAATTATATATGTATTTTACATAAAATGAATCGGTATTTGAATTAATTAATGATACATTTAATTACACATTTATGTATTTAATTCTAATTTGAATTAATTAATGACACATTTAAGTAATTATTTAATGGTGTATTTATTTATTTAATTGTGGCACTTTTAGTCCTCCATACTAAATAGCCTATAGGCGCAATTGATATTGCTCGCCTAGCGGAGAATCAGAGATGAGGGGCGGCATCAGGCCGATATATAGCCTAATAAGCAACTCATTCTAAAACACTGAGAAATATAGACATTTTATCAATTACAAATTACATGACCCTCCCCTGGACTAGATTAAAAACAGACTAAAAAGCATGACCCTCCCCCATTTTCGTCCAGGTAACTATTCTGTATATTTTGATCCGTCCCTTAAGGGGTCTACATGGTTAACGTGCGTAGATCTACAGCATGTTCGTGGGTGGAGTGTTTTTTTTTTTAGCAGCGGACTCTTTTCGTTGCATTCCACCCACGAGTCTGCCTTGTGTAGTATATATCCACTATGGGGTTTGGGGAGCCAGAGTAGCTTACCAAGCAAGAGGAGCCAAGGCACTCTTTTTGACTCTGGCTAGCGATGACGTTTGAACTTCCGGATCCGGTGTTATATGCCTGTTTACTATAATATAATAATATGCCATTTAGCAGACGCTTTTATCCAAAGCGACTTACAGTCATGCGTGCATACATTTTTGTGTATGGGTGGTCCCGGGGATCGAACCCACTACCTTGGCGTTACAAGCGCCGTGCTCTACCAGCTGAGCTACAGAGGACCAGCTGAGCTACAGAGTTTACAAATGCTAGCTCCATGTCTGGTGTTCTATGCTTTACAACACTACTTTTTAGCCACAGAAGCAAACATGTCTCTTTTTGAATTGCAATTGCTAGAGCTTGAACAGCAAGAGCTTGAAATGCTACTATTAATCAGGAGGAGAAGAAAAACAAGACAGAAAAATGTGAGAATACACGTCTCTTGTCCAGGGACGGCTTGTTCAATAGGGCGATATGGGCGACGCACTGCCAAACGGGAAAAGGAAGGGATTTTTTTTCTAATCAATTATATCACGGCAACAGCAGTTATCAGTGTTCACGTCTGATCTGCCAGCCACTAAATGTCAAATCAGGCTAAAGTCGTGCTTCAAATGGCCCCGCCCGTTTTTGGGGCGATTTCAGTCAAGTTGAAAATCGCCCAGAAGTCTCTCATAGCCTGTCATGTAAAATCTATTTTTTTCACATTTCAAAGCTTTCAATACATTCTCTATGGGTGTCTGTGGGCTTGCACTTACGCGCTTTCGTCATGCGTGACGTAACGTTGAACGTAACTAAGACAATGGCGGCTAGAAGCGTCTCTGTTGCGACCTGCAGTGCGGCGTTATTTTATGTTTTTAATTTGTAGACTTAGTTTACAAACATTCTGCCAACCATGGATTTCCAGTGGTTGGTTTTGGACTGATCTTGTTGATCGTGTACATACCCGCTACGAACGGACTAAATAATGAAAACGCTGCTGGCAGCTGAATCCCAATACAGCTGGGAGACTTGGCTGGATGAGTCCCGGACAGAGAAGTGGAGCCGGCCACCTTCACCCTGGTCAGAGCGGACCGCGATCCTGGTAAGAGAGCGACTCTGTACCCCGACATTGAACTGCTTTCTGTGTCATTGCGACCTTACTATCAATTCAATTCAATTTAAGGGCTTTATTGGCATGGGAAACGTGTGTTAACATTGCCAAAGCAAGGGAAGTAGATAGTAAACAAAAGTGAAATAAACAATAAATATTAACAGTAAACATTACACTCAGAAGTTTCAAAAGAATAAAGACATTTCAAATGTCATATTATGTACAGTGGGGCAAAAAAGTATTTAATCAGCCACCAATTGTGCAAGTTCTCCCACTTAAAAAGATGAGAGAGGCCTGTAATTTTCATCATAGGTACACGTCAACTATGACAGACAAATTGAGAAAAAAAAATCCAGAAAATCCCATTGTAGGATTTTTTATGAATTTCTTTGCAAATTATGGTGGAAAATAAGTATTTGGTCACCTACAAACAAGCAAGATTTCTGGCTCTCACAGACCTGTAACAACTTCTTTAAGAAGCTCCTCTGTCCTCCACTCGTTACCTGTATTAATGGCACCTGTTTGAACTTGTTATCAGTATAAAAGACACCTGTCCACAACCTCAAACAGTCACACTCCAAACTCCACAATGGCCAAGACCAAAGAGCTGTCAAAGGACACCAGAAACAAAATTGTAGACCTGCACCAGGCTGGGAAGACTGAATCTGCAATAGGTAAGCAGCTTGGTTTGAAGAAATCAACTGTGGGAGCAATTATTAGGAAATGGAAGACATACAAGACCACTGATAATCTCCCTCAATCTGGGGCTCCACGCAAGATCTCACCCCGTGGGGTCAAAATGATCACAAGAACGGTGAGCAAAAATCCCAGAACCACACGGGGGGACCTAGTGAATGACCTGCAGAGAGCTGGGACCAAAGTAACAAAGCCTACCATCAGTAACACACTACGCCGCCAGGGACTCAAATCCTGCAGTGCCTGACGTGTCCCCCTGCTTAAGCCAGTACATGTCCAGGCCCGTCTGAAGTGCATTTGGATGATCCAGAAGAGGATTGGGAGAATGTCATATGGTCAGATGAAACCAAAATATAACTTTTTGGTAAAAACTCAACTCGTCATGTTTGGAGGACAAAGAATGCTGAGTTGCATCCAAAGAACACCATACCTACTGTGAAGCATGGGGGTGGAAACATCATGCTTTTGGGCTGTTTTTCTGCAAAGGGACCAGGACGACTGATCCGTGTAAAGGAAAGAATGAATGGGGCCATGTATCGTGAGATTTTGAGTGAAAACCTCCTTCCATCAGCAAGGGCATTGAAGATGAAACGTGGCTGGGTCTTTCAGCATGACAATGATCCCAAACACACCGCCCGGGCAACGAAGGAGTGGCTTCGTAAGAAGCATTTCAAGGTCCTGGAGTGGCCTAGCCAGTCTCCAGATCTCAACCCCATAGAAAATCTTTGGAGGGAGTTGAAAGTCTGTGTTGCCCAGCGACAGCCCCAAAACATCACTGCTCTAGAGGAGATCTGCATGGAGGAATGGGCCAAAATACCAGCAACAGTGTGTGAAAACCTTGTGAAGACTTACAGAAAACGTTTGACCTGTGTCATTGCCAACAAAGGGTATATAACAAAGTATTGAGAAACTTTTGTTATTGACCAAATACTTATTTTCCACCATCATTTGCCAATAAATTCATTAAAAATCCTACAATGTGATTTTCTGGATTTTCTTTTCTCATTTTGTCTGTCATAGTTGATGTGTACCTATGATGAAAATGACAGGCCTCTCTCGTCTTTTTAAGTGGGAGAACTTGCACAATTGGTGGCTGACTAAATACTTTTTTTCCCCACTGTATATATACAGTGTTGTTACAATGTGCAAATAGTTAAAGTACAAATGGGAAAATAAATAAACATAAATATGGGTTGTATTTACAATGGTGTTTGTTCTTCACTGGTTGCCCTTTTCTTGTGGCAACAGGTCACAAATCTTGCAGCTGTGATGGCACACTGTGGTTTTTCACCCAGTAGATAAGGGAGTTTATCAAAATTGGGTTTGTTTTCGAATTCTTTGTGGATCGCTGTAATCTGAGGGAAATATGTGTCTCTAATATGGTCATACATTTGGCAGGAGGTTAGGAAGTGCAGCTCAGTTTCCACCTCATTTTGTGGGCAGTGTGCACATAGCCTGTCTTCTCTTGAGAGCCAGGTCTGCCTACGGCGGCCTTTCTCAATAGCAAGGCTATGGTCACTGAGTCTGTACATAGTCAAAGCTTTCATTAAGTTTGGGTCAGTCACAGTGGTCAGGTATTCTGCCACTGTGTACTCTCTGTTTAGGGCCAAATAGCATTCTAGTTTGCTCTGTTTTTTTGTTTGTTCTTTCCAATGTGTCAAGTAATTCTCTTTTTGTTTTCTCATGATTTGGTTGGGTCTAATTGTGTTGTTGTTGTTGTTGTTGTCCTGGGGCTGTGTGGGGTCTGTTTGTGTTTGTGAACAGAGGCCCAGGACAAGCTTACTTAGGGGACTCTTCTCCAAGTTCATCTCTCTGTAGGTGATGGCTTTGTTATGGAAGGTTTGGGAATCGCTTCCTTTTAAGTGGTTACTATCTGCCCCGTGAGTTCCCCCAATTGTTTGTTACCGTTGTGTACTGTTGATAATCACAAGTTTACTGGAGAACTGAGACCAAGTAGAGACTTTGGACAGGGTGGATATGGTATAATAAAGGCAGTTTATTCAGAGGTAAAGATATCTGGAATCGTGTGCACGGACTCGTGCACGTGTGTAGGTCACCTAAATCATCAGAAAAATTGCCCCTCCTGAGAATTTTTTCAGGAGCCGCCACTGCTCTTGTCCATCTTTGCGAAGCATTGACAAGGAAAGACATGTTCAATACTTTCAGATATCGGTTGCCAGATTTGACGACTTGCTTCAGCGGCTTGCCCTTTACATCTCCGTACGAGAGAACTCACAGCTTGCCCGTAATTGTTGCAGAAATGCTGTGTGACCCTTTGGTTTTTGGCAAGTGGCAGCACACAGCAAAGTATCGCTGTGTGTTATAATTTATAAGCTAGGAATCTTGACAGTTTGTGCCATCATCACGGAAGTGTGCCAGGCTATCTGGCATGTCCTGAAGGATGATTTTTTTGCTTATCTCTCCATTGCACAATGGGCAGAAATCTGCAGAGATTTTGGGGATCGTTGGAATTATCCATATCGTGCAGGAACTGTCGACGGGCAGTGATTACTACAACTACAAGGGCTTTTTCTCAATGGTCCTGATGGCAGTCTGCGATGCAAGGTACCGACCATATCCAGGTAAGATACGCTAAATACATGTGACTATATACATATGATGTGAAAATGATACCAATATAGATGTTGTAATATGCCTCACATAAAAGTGATCCCAATAAGAGGATGGGGGCCTATGTCCAAAGCATAGGCTACACAGTTGTTACAGTTCACATTTGATAGCATTTATGTTCCTGTTCAATACTAATGGAAACACTTAATTATTCAAAGATTCTTCTGGCCTTGATGACGCCAAGAAGATCTACAACTACCGCCACTCAAGAGCCAGAAGAATTTCAGAGAACTGCTTTGGGATCCTTGCTGCAAGATGGAGGATCCTGGGACGAGCCCCTGAGGTTGCCCCAGAGAAAGCTGAGACCATTGTGAAGGCCTACGTGGCCTTACACAACTACCTTTGCACCACAGACAACACAGATTGATCAACACAGTACATCCACCCCAAGTTTGTTGACCACTCCACATCCACTGGGGGCCTGCTTCCAGGAGAGTGGAGACAAGTGGTACAAGGGTCACCAGCTTACTGGACCCAAGAAACATATCGTCAGACAGTGCAACCAGAATTGCTATAGATGTGCGCAACAACCTCAAGGACTACATCCTCACATCAACAGGTCAAGTGTCTTTCTAGGATGCTGCTATCACACGTGGCACCCTACAGTAAATGTTGGAGTATGGTTTGGAAAACGTGTGCACACATACAGTGAGGGAAAAAAGTATTTGATCCCCTGCTGATTTTGTACGTTTGCCCACTGACAAAGAAATGATCAGTCTATAATTTTAATGGTAGGTTTATTTGAACAGTGAGAGACAGAATAACAACAAAATAATCCAGAAAAATGCATGTCATAAATGTTATAAATTGATTTGCATTTTAATGAGGGAAATAAGTATTTGACCCCCTCTCAATCAGAAAGATTTCTGGCTCCCTGGTGTCTTTTATACAGGTAACAAGCTGAGATTAGGAGCACTCCTAATCTCAGCTCGTTACCTGTATAAAAGACACCTGTCCACAGAAGCAATCAATCAATCAGATTCCAAACTCTCCACCATGGCCAAGACCAAAGAGCTCTCCAAGGATGTCAGGGACAAGATTGTAGACCTATACAAGGCTGGAATGGGCTACAAGACCATCGCCAAGCAGCTTGGTGAGAAGGTGACAACAGTTGGTGAGATTATTCGCAAATGGAAGAAACACAAAAGACCTGTCAATCTCCCTCGGCCTGGGGCTCCATGCAAGATCTCACCTCGTGGAGTTGCAATGATCATGAGAACGGTGAGGAATCAGCCCAGAACTACACGGGAGGATCTTGTCAATGATCTCAAGGCAGCTGGGACCATAGTCAACAAGAAAACAATTGGTAACACACTACGCCGTAAAGGACTGAAATCCTGCAGCGCCCGCAAGGTCCCCCTGCTCAAGAAAGCACATATACAGGGCCGTCTGAAGTTTGCCAATGAACATCTGAATGATTCAGAGGAGAACTGAGTGAAAGTGTTGTGGTCAGATGAGACCAAAATCGAGCTCTTTGGCATCAACTAAACTCGCCGTGTTTGGAGGAGGAGGAATGCTGCCTAACACCATCCCCACCGTCAAACATGGTGGAAACATTATGCTTTGGGGGTGTTTTTCTGCTAAGGGGACAGGACAACTTCACCGCATCAAAAGGACGATGGATGGGGCCATGTACCGTCAAATCTTGGGTGAGAACCTCCTTCCCTCAGCCAGGGCATTGAAAATGGGTCGTGGATGGGTATTCCAGCATGACAATGACCCAAAACACACGGCCAAGGCAACAAAGGAGTGGCTCAAGAAGAAGCACATTAAGGTCCTGGAGTGGCCTAGCCAGTCTCCAGACCTTAATCCCATAGAAAATCTGTGGAGGGAGCTGAAGGTTCGAGATGCCAAACGTCAGCCTCGAAACCTTAATGACTTGGAGAAGATCTGCGAAGAGGAGTGGGACAAAATCCCTCCTGAGATGTGTGCAAACCTGGTGGCCAACTACAAGAAACGTCTGACCTCTGTGATTGCCAACAAGGGTTTTGCCACCAAGTACTAAGTCATGTTTTGCAGAGGGGTCAAATACTTATTTCCCTCATTAAAATGCAAATCAATTAATAACTATTTTGACATGCGTTTTTCTGTTTTTTTTTGTTGTTATTCTGTCTCTCACTTTTCAAATAAACCTACCATTAAAATTATAGACTGATCATGTCTTTGTCAGTGGGCAAACGTACAAAATCAGCAGGGGAGCAAATACTTTTTTCCCTCACTGTACCGTCTCTTCTTCTGGTTGATTACTATAATGACTGTCACTTCAGTTTTAATATTTTTTGGGAGGCTAGACCCTCAAGACATTTACCTAACCTTGTGTTGTGTAGTGGCCTTTTAATGAGAACTTTCCTGCTATAGCAAATGGGTGAGAATGGCTGTCCAGCTGTAGACAATAAGGACAGAGCCCCCCAAAACAATAACCTCATCTACATAGCTCATGTACAAAGCAGTACAAGTTTACTGAGTGACTGATTCAAAACAGTAATATTTTCTGCCACAAGTACAAATAACCAGACAAATACATTTGCAGACCTTTTTAGATATGTATTTACTATCACAATAGTGCAATGTAAAACCAATGTAATGCACAGGGGAAAAGTGTGATGAAAGGGGAAATAAGAGAAAAAACTAAGTAACATGTGAATGAGAAAATAATTATAAGAAACATGCACAAAAACCGGCAGTAAATTACCCACCACCCTAATGTACATATGAATAAGAAAAAAGAACCACACAACAACAGTTTTTGTCGTGAGACAAACGGGAGACGTTGATCAGCAGGAATAGACCCATCCATGGTACCATGACGTTGTAGACGGCCTTTGCTGGACACTGCTGCTGTTTCTTTAAGTCATCCACCCGCTGCATAATGTCAGTGTCCAAAGGATCTTCAGCTGTCTTCCTCTTACGGCCATTGGAGCTGAGTCAGGGAGATGGGGTGGAGGTTGATGGAGTTGCAGGGCAGAGGGCACGGGTGCACCTGGATAGTGGGTTGGGTGTTGGTGAGAAGGGCCTGGGTGTTGGAGAGAGGGGCCGGACAGGTGATGAACCAGGCTGGGGAGATGATGAATCAAGGGGCGATGAACCACCTGTAGATGGGCCCTCATCTCTATCTCTGGACTGTCCAAAACATCACCCCCCTCCAACACCTACAAGCACATGGCGAATACATTAGAATACAATGCAAGCAATCTTAAAATATGGGCTCCATGGAGTTAAAATGTTTTTCCCAAAATAACTGATTTCATAAACACCTCAATCTAATTAACACACACACTGTCTGTTTTCTGATGTTTGATCATTATGATAACACAGGCACTGAATATTTCCCACTCACAATTTCCTCCATCCAGAAAAGAGCTGATGTCACATGTTCTAACTAGGTCTACTAAACATAAGATCACAAACACACACACACTGATTGTACCAAAGGACTCGGCTGAATGATGAGTACATACTGTATCTGGCATATTGGTGTCTGTCTGACAATGTTTCACGTGAACACGAAGCCAATCTAGTTGTCTGACAATCAGTGGGACACACACCAGCAGCAGCCCCACTCCTTTTGCCACTCCTCGTCTCCTTCACCCTTTTCAGATTGTTTACATACCGGTTCCGAATCTTTCTCCATGTTTCTTTGATATCAGTATCGGTGTTCAAATTTCAAGATATCTCCCACCAGCTGTTGACTTTTGCTTGCTTGTCCGAATACAACCGCATTGAAGGGTTGTAAAGGTTCTCGTATTGTCTCATCAGCTCGCACAGACACTCCCCTAAACTGGACATTGACAAAATTGCGCTTAGCAAATTTCAAAATAAAAAGCACAAAAAAGGAAGCTTGCAAATAGTAGAAGCGAAGTAGCAGAACATCTCTTCTGTGTTTACAGAATATATGACGTAGACACAGGGGCGGGACTTACATTGCAAAACTCACTCAATCCTGCCCCTCTGTATTCGCAAGGAATGATACGTTGGGTCTTTTTGCAGGTAGGAAAAAACAGTGTTGAATGACGGCGCGTATTACAAGGAGCCGCCTCTTTTGTGGCGAAAAACGACATTGCAACACTGCGCTACGCTCCGTTGGCCCTGTTTGCGGATTGTCTGTAGACCCCTTTAGGGGTGTGTGAGGGCCTGGAGAGCTGTAAATGTTGCCTGTGAGTAAACATTTAAAAACATTGAGGTTTGCTCAGCTGAAGAAAAACCTCTAGCATTTCTCTCTCAGCCTGTCAACACGAGAAAGAGGCATCCACACACAGCAAGGCTCCACTTCCATTGAATAATGTTTGCAGTGTCATCAGTAGGACCCAGGGCAGGGGAATAAGGCAAACACAATCTATTAGCTCAACCCAGCTGATGAAAAATGGGGGCTTGTCCCTTGAAGTGTAGCTTTGCTGTTACTATGGAAACATGTCATCATACTAACGTGCCCTCATTTGTTTACGGCTGCAGGGTAGTAAGTGGCCCAGGCAAGTTGGCCAGCGTAACCGTGGAGCAAAGAAAGGTCACGGTGATGACACTATCTTTCTGCGCTACTGAGAGAAGCCCCCACCCTTGTATCTAGACAGATGGAGCCAAAAATGCAGGATATGCAAAGACAAGCCCAACAGCTGTGGCAAACAGGCCTACTATTTTTCAACAAATGCATAATAGCTAATTGTACACTATCTCCTTGTTTGTCCAGCCAATTAGTGGTGTTTTTACCACCGTTTTAGTTGAACATGTCTCCACAAGATCTTCCCTTTAACATGTCACTTCAGTCGACTTATGATAATGCATTTTAGCAAGCTAATGATTTATACAGAGCACCACAGGCAGTGTTCACACAAAAACAACAAACCATAGTGAACATTCCAACAACAAGCCCATTACAACTTTGCACCTACGCCTCCATTCATGTCTCCATTGCCTGAACATGAATAATCCAAACCAACAGTAAGGCCTCTTCTGGCAAGAGCTGTGTGAACATGTACCTTCAAATACGTGAGAACCATGCATGCGGGAAATGGTGAGGCGTGCCACGTGCATGACCCTGTGTTACAGATGTTGGGGTGTAATGGGAGGAGACAGACATCCAGACACACTACAGGAGCAGCTGCATGTGACCTACATTGAGGGAATAAATAATTCAGCAGGCTGGTAGGCTAACTGGCTAACACAATAGTACTAGTGGGTCCACCTCTGGGGGGAATTGTGTGGGGGGGAAGAGCAACACCAACCCCATCCTCTGGGAGTGGCAGTTGGCGTGCTGACACCCACAGCAGAGGATTTAGGATTTTTCACCCCACTGTTTTCAGAAAACAAGATATGGTCAGTTAACTGCCTCTATTATCTGAAGCAACAGTCAACTCATGAAAGCAACCCGTCCCCGGGTTCTAACCACCAACCTTTTAGCCGAACACACTAGCGGATTGCGTCAAGAACAGGAGCCATAGCGATGTGACCCAGACTGACTGTGAGAATGTAACCCTACATACGTTGCATTCATGTAATATTATTAAAGTTTTATTGAACTGACATTTACATTTTTAGTCATTTAGCAGACGCTCTTATCCAGAGCGACTTACAGTTAGTGAGTGCATACATTTTTCATACTGGCCCCCCGTGGGAATTGAACCTACAACCCTGGCGTTGCAAGCGCCATGCTCTACCAACTGAGCTCCAGGAGGCCCTGTAGTAACTGACCTGGTGTCTTTATTGGAATGTCTGGGGTTAAGGAAAGTTTCTCCCACTTTTGGGGGAAAACACGCAAATGTCTTTTACTGGAATTGACCTTCAAATCAATTTACATTTTGACTGCGTCATGCATTCATAGATAATGGTGATGGATTTTATTGACAAAACACTGACCAGTAGAAATGAACCCATGTTGAACTGTATTTGAACTGATTATTGATAAGATATTTGAAAAAGAGTATGTAGTACATTCCAAACACTTCTTTGGACTCCTTCAGTACAACATACAGTATAAAGGTCTGTTCTCCGACCAAGCCAACAGAAAGAAGACCGATTTTAGGATTGAACTGCGGCTGACATTGTCTCTTGTCAATGGCTATTAGATAGCATTACTGCTGACTGGTATGCCTGCAGCACTGCAGCTAGACACCAATGAAAGGCCATGTGTCCAAAGGAATCTCATTTTCCAATGGTAGTGTACCTATCAAATTAATATGGGAATTCATATTAAACCTCTAACGTGGAAGCTCGTACTGCTGTATACTGATGCTACGCAAATAGGTCATAGTATCACAGATGGGGTGTTGCAGGGCTTGGTGTATTAGAGCCCTCAAAATTAGCCAGTGGGTCAGCAGGAAATTATAACTCTGCAGGACCCTGGCCCGGTTTAGATGCCTACATAGCCCAACATGTCTTCTCTCTCAAATTAGGTCAGGATGAAAAAGACAAAGCACGCAAGCTCCTATACCATTTTATACAGTGAAATGAAAGCCCCCTCCCCCAGACACACACATATGCGTACACACACACACACTCTTCCTGTCATAACAGTGGGTGTTCTCATGGGTATGTGGAGATACTGTAAATACTGCAGACTACTGCTGCTCCTCTTGAATGGGGATGATAAAATGAGCTTGATGGCCTTCACACAAAGAGACACACACTAATGTTTTCTGAATGTGTCACCCTGTCTCTTTGCAACGTTTCAAGTTTTTTATAACATAAAGGCACTGTGCTGACATTTGCTATGCCTCCCTCTGACAAGTTTGGTAGACTTCCCAAAAATCTTTTAGGATGTAGATGAGGAGGATAAAATGCATACCTGGGGCCTCATTTATAAACCGTACGTACAAAATATACCCCAAAATGTGCGTGCGCCAGTTATCCCGCAAAAGTTGGCATTTATAAAAACTGAACATGACGTGAGAATGTCCTTTCCTCCACGCAAACTTTAGACCATGCGTATGCACATCTTCTAGTAGTTGAAGTATTGTATAGCAAGCAGGCAAGTGGGGGATATGCAAATGGAGAAATGATGACACACTTATTCATAAAAACAAACTAACAAGATGCAGCAATTTGCCGTTAGTGAGAAAAGCGAAAATCAAGTGTGTTTTATTTTTGGAATCTAAAATAATTAGACATAGGAACCTATTTCCTATTTATTCAATATTTATTGCAGAATAAATTGCAGAATAAATTCCTCACCTTTTCTGGCTGTGATGAGTTCATATTACTGAAGTAGTCATACAGCAAATTACCATGTGCATCTCTCATTTAATTGGGCCTATGTGTCACAATCGTTGGAGGAAGTGGACCAATGCGCAGCATGATGAGTGAACATACTTTTATTTGATTCACCATACGAAACAAAACAACAAACCGATATGTGAAGTCCTAGGTAACAGCCACAAACCATACACGGAACAAGATCCCACAAAACACTGTGGAAAACAGGCTGCCTAAGTATGGTTCCCAATCAGAGACAACAAGCAACAGCTGACACTCGTTGCCTCTGATTGAGAACCACCCCGGCCAACACAGAAACACATGAGCTAGATAAAGAACCTAGAACACAAATACATAGAAACTACACACCCTGGCTCAACATAACAGAGTCCCAGAGCCAGGGCGTGACACTATGTAAATAGATATGCGCTATGTATTTCAAGTTTTGCTGTATGTGATCCCATAAGCAGCGTGGTTTATAGCCTACATACAAATTAAAAAGGTGAACATCATGACAATTGATATTTTACTTTAAAGTACAATATATGTGCCTATTTCAGCCACACCCGTTGCTGACAGGTGTATAAAATTGAGCACAGAGCCATGCAATCTCCACAGACAAACATTAGCAGTAGAATGACCTTACTGAAGAGCTCAGTGACTTTCAACGTGGCACCGTCATAGGC